AGAAACAGCATTCTTCTCAGCAACCGGGCGAGGAAGTTCCAACCGATGACCCTGCGCTGAGCATTGACGAGGATGCTGCCCTTTTGCAAGGGGTGTACTCGTCTTTTGCTCCTTCTTTTGACAGCTCTGGAGCTGTCGAGCACGCCGATTCCAAAAATTTGGTGTGGTGGAGCAAACGTGGAGCAAGGCGTCTGAATACGCTTCTCTCATTACCGTACGTGGAAGATGAACAGAAAGATTCCACATCGGTGCAGCCCGGAAGTATCGGCGATCTTGACGAGTCCACTCTGGAGGAGATGGTGAAAACGTTCAACCCCGACGATTTTGCGGACAACATCGGGCATACAGATAAATCTACGGGAAAGGACGATCAAGAGCGAGAAATGGACGACGTATTGCGCGATGTCTCTGATCTGCTAGAGACCCTTAGCTCCTACCAAAAGATTCGGAGTTTGGAGACTACGGCTTCTAGCGGTCAAGGCACCGAGCCTAAAGAAACGACGCCCGATGTCACAGGAGCAGACACTCCGTCGGCGGCAGAGCAGACTGTGTATGAGACGCTCAAGTCAAGTCTAGCAGCTCTTGTCGCGACTCTGCCACCTTACGCTGTTGCCAAGTTGGACGGTGACCAGCTGGCCGAGCTGAACATCAGCCAAAAGATCCTGATTGAAAATCCTGAGTACCAGGGCACAATGGAAAAGGATGACTATGCTTTGCAGCAGGAGCGTGCAGCTGCCATGGCTGCCACCAGCGGCGCGAATAGGACTTCAACTCCTTCACGTTCCGGTAGCTTCCAGGCGCAGTTCAACCAACGAGCATTTACGGCCAACGCGCGAACGCAGCCTCAGACTTTCCAGACGCCACAGCCTTACTATGGGGCAAGGCAGAACTCCACGCCAGCGCCATACACTCCTGGCCATCCTCAGCAATTCGCTGGAGCACGCCCTCCGTCAACACCGCAGCAGAGACCAGGTTACTTCCCTGGTTACGCGCAGCAGCCCACTCCGCAATACAACCAGTACCAACGTCCCGGCCAGAATGGCTACCACCCCTACCCGGGACAACAGGGCCCTCCCGCCGCGGGTCAGGGGTCTCCCCAGCCCTACACCCCGCGTCCCGGACAGCCTGCGCCCTATAACGCGCCCTATGCAGCCGGACGCAGCGCATCCCCCCAGAAACCTCCTTCATACGCTACTCCCCGGGGCTCTTTCGCTGCTCCAGGTTCAGCCAACCCACAACAACGGTTCGTGCCGCAACAACAACCAGGCCAGCAGCCCCCTCCTTATGGGAACTACCCCTCGAACCAAGCCCCGCCGCCATCAGGAGGATATTCCAATTCAGCTGCGGCCATGACCTATGCTCGGAGCGCTGCCGAACAAGCCATTATGATGGAGAGGAACAAAGTTCAATTAGCAGCAGCAGCCCAAAACCGGCCGAGCTCAGCGACACCACAGCCATCGGGCGAAGTCTCCCAAGATCGAAGTGCAACGCCCGGAAGCAAGCAGAACGGCACGCCTGCACCATGACGAGCGGGGCGCTTGATGAGACACGGTCGAGATGTAGGGATATGCGTTTGATTAACACTTATTATTCGTCTTTCTCACTCTTTCTTACCTTTTAACTTTTAACAACTTTTTCTCTTGTTAACACTATACCATTCCAATTATCTCACTTCTTCCTTCCCTTTCCACTGGTCAATTACCACTCACAGAGCTTAGAAAACAAAGTTTCCAGAAGAAAATCACCCACAACCGGGAAGAAAACAAAAAACAATACAGTGATGAATTCCAATACCTTGTATTGTGGTGGTCTATTCCAAGTTGGATAACCTTTCCACTCAGCGACGATAACCCCTTACCTACCTACCTACTCTACTCTACTTCTACCAATTATTCCAACTTCAATTTTCTTTTAATCCTTTTTCCCTCTGTCACAAGGCAATAATTTCCAAGTGATGATTGCTTTCTAGATTCAGCTTCATATTCAAGTTCAGGTTCCCTTTTATTTTTACCCCAAATAGGACAGGACAGGACGGATGTTCTTAAATCACTGGTATTCCACAGACATGTATGGATGGATGGATGTTCTGAGTTTTTTATCTCGTTGGTTTGCGTTGCTTTGTCATACTTAACCTCTTTTATCCCTCCATTGTTTCCATTACCAATGGAGTTGACTTTTTTCATCTGTTTACCAGAGTCCCTAAATCAATGAACAAATCATCTACATAATTCCACGATCTAGGTAGTAGTAGAAAAAGTGTTTAGGATCACGGTCATGCTTATCGGGTGCTCCGGGGGTGGGAGTCCTCTCTATAAACTTATCCATGTTGTGTTGAATTTTGGGATCAAGATTGTGTCTCATTTTTCCATTATAACTAGATCGTATCTGTGAAACGAGTGTAGTATACAGCAATCTCATCATTATACACGCTCAAATACATGACAAGAATCAATGAAAGATAGGAATTAAGAGATAGTACGACGAGGTAGAAAAAAGGTTCTGCTATTTGGCGCACCCTATAACCCCCCACCCAGGCTGTCGTCTGTTTTTCCAGTCCAGTGTCGTTAACGCCTGCCTATCTTCTAAAGGGACCAGTTCTCAATCTGTTCAAGGCTCAATAACATCCGAGGAAGAAACGCTAGAACAACGATATACGCTACCCAAATAAAATTCGTCGAGTCATTAGTTGATTAATGGTATCGTAAGTAGTGGTCAGTCAGGGGATGAACATTGCGGCGACGGTCATGAAGCCGAAGTATCTGAGCCGTGTGGTTAGTTATTGTACTGTAGTAGAGGAGGCCGGGAAGACATACATAGTGGCACATCTCCAGCCATCTCGAGAGTCAACGAGCTGGTCTGCGCTGGTGGAGTTGGTGGAGGCAATGATGGACGCAGCGACTCCTACGAGTGCGACTACAACAAGACGACCGGAGAACTCGGAGATCATGCTGAATGCGAGCAATGGTAGGAGAATGGCCGTAGAGGCAATGATGATGGTGGTGAAGATAGGCTTCGCGGTCGATGTAGAAGCCATGCGTGGAGTTAGAGAGATAAGGTCTTTGGAGTAATCGAGGAAACGTGTCTCAGCGGTGATGACGGGGTTGGTTTGCTTCATCCAGTTCCGGTAGGTGTCGATATCCTGCGTCGAGGCACGGGGGAGCGTTTGAAGGACCCTACTATATGCGCTGAGGGCATTATCTAGAAAAAGGATTGTTAGCATTTGTATCGATGATTGGCGGGCAACTGGCACTTACTATATTGTTCGGTCTTTCGAGCTAGCGCTCCTAGGAGCTCCTCACGTCGGTAGTGGATGGAGGAGTACACCTGTGCTTGGGCATCCATACGCCGGGAGGCTGGGAGCATTTTCGTCCCCTCTTGTTCGGCCGTCGCGGCCCGTTGCAATTCCTCATACTCGTCCACTAGACGCAGGTCTTCCTCCATTTGTGCGATCTCGTCCTGAAGATGAAGCAGGACGCGATGGTTGAGATTCTCAAACCGGCGATACAGAGGAGGGAGACGGGGCTCTTGGCTCTCTGTGGCCGAGCTCAGCCGGGTAGCGAGAAGGCTATATCCGGAGATGTCTGAGGAGGATTTGGTGTTGCGTCTGTTCCGTCGTGTGGGCCGGTGAAGGTCTTCTTCAGGGCTTCGCGGCGGTGATGGGGGTAGTGGCGACCGATGAAGAGAGACAGAATTCTGAGGGTAATAGGTCTCCGGTCTTGCGTTCAAATCCACGCTTCGTTTCTCATAGTAGTTCGAGCCGTCGGGGAACGCCCCTACCGCACTGTATGCCCCATCCAGTGAGGGTTTATGTGCGGGGATGTGGTTCTTCACTGTGTTTGAGGTGACGGTGCTTGGGGGAATGTCAATTGAGCTAGGAGTCTTCTGAGTGTTCGCTGAGGACTTGGACATTATGGACGAAGTACGGCTGCGGGTATCAGTCCCTTGAGCGGCGGGGCGATACATCTGACGGACAGCGTTCTTGTATGCCCCCTTGGCAATATTGTTGGGTACGCTATGTAGCTGATGACGTTCGTACTCGTCATCAGACGAATCATCCGTTGTAGTCGAATTGTCTTCGAGGTACTCGAACACGTTGGGTGCTTTGCGATCGGAATTATGCTTGTTCTGAGTTGCTTGTGGCCGCGTTGTGGACCCGTTGCTGTTGCTCTTTGATATAGTAGATTGGGTTTGGCTGTCTACCTTGGGTTTGTCCACTGACAGTTTGGGGCCTTTGGTGGAATGCGAATTCGAAGAAATGACCGAAGCCGTGGACGCTCTGCTCGTCCCATCTTTTTTAGACTTTTTGGAACGAGTAGAGCTAGAGTAGAATGGCATCATGGGTAGATTGGGTAATTAATAGCGGTCAATATGGTAGCTTCAGAAGGCCGCAGCGAAAACTAGTGTTTCCGGCTTCAGGCCATACCCCAAAAGATGAATGGAGAGAACAATCAGAGTGTACTCTGAGGTGGTGACGGTGTTTGGAGGGGAAGCACCCAAGGCATATCAAGGGAGAAGGGTAGGGCCTCAGAGACGGCGCGAATCTCGGACGAGGGTTCAAGAATGTAGGACAGAATGCGGTTGATAGGTCTCTTCCTCCCTGTGTAGCGGATCGGAATTCCCTTGACAAGCGTAGTTTGAAGATCACTGAGGGACTATGGATCCCTCGAATGGAGATCCCGCCGATTAGCCGGTTTTTAGATCGGTTGGGGTCTAGGCAATATGGAGAGAGCGAGAAAAAGAGAGAAAGTATAGATCGAAGGTAGACAGGAGGAGAGTCAGAACCGGAAATAGTCAACAGTAAATACTGGATGGACAAGGCGAATCAGCCCCCAACATCCAGGACGAAGATGAGACAGATCTCCGACAACAGCGACGAAGGAGAGCGCTGAACAGGTCCTTTTTTTGGACGCGAGGCAGCCTTGAGGGAGTCTCATTCGTGGTGGTAGGCGCCCCGAGTTCCTGATCTGCTCCGATCGCGAGGGGCACTTCCCTGTCAGACGGGAAGACTGATGGTTTCTTTTTCTCGATTGCGAGATGGACGATTTATTGATACATTGGCTAAAAGGTGAGAGTGGTACAAAAGGAAGCGCAATGGAGAGCAGCGAAAGGAAGAGGGAGAAGTAAAATGAGAGAAGAAATGAAGTAGTAAAAAGTGGGATGTGGAGGATCCACATGCGGTGGTTGAAGAGCAACTCGACTCTTTTTCTATACTACAAAACCATGCGGGCTTTCACTTGGGATCACTTGGGATCATCTGTCCCCCTCCACCATCGCTCGAGGCACTCATTACTGGCACATCCTCGAAGTTTATGCTGCGTTGGCTGACGGTGACTCGCTGCCGATCCCACCTTGCATGACTGAAATTCTTCGGCGTTATCGTTGTTGGACACGATGGCTAAGGTCATCCATCCCGGCGATGAGTTGGTGAGAAGCCATTCATGTGCTGGGATTCTGTCCAGAGAGCCGAGGGGTTTGGGTGGACGCCACTCAACAGTGTTTCGCCCTGCCTCTTATGTTTGTATTTAGCTTTTATCCCGCTCTCATATTTCTGCTTTGTTCCGCTGATCCACGGGTTGAAGTTAAATGCATGACATTCCTTTCCTGGACGCTCTGGAAGCATGACTTGCAGCAGAACCGCTGGCACTGGCTGCGGCCGAGAATGTTCACAGCGCATCGCGAATAGGATGTCCTGGAACATCATTCGGGCATATCCTCATTGGTGCAGAGGATGGTTATCTCATTAGTATTCCCCTCAGTTCCATCTCCTTCATTTAATTTAGTGTCTATATACTGACTATCTCACTGATTGTATATCAGCGGTGAGGGTAATTACCGTATGGTACGGGCCGTGATCTCCGCCGCGCTTAATTCCGTCCTTCATCGATTCCCATTCAGATTCCAGACTCAAGATTCGTGCCAATTTCACTGCCATCCCTCCCACCGCGACCAGCCCGATCTTCTCTTCCTCTTGCGGATCCATCCTTTCGCCTACCTTCCTCGCCCTCGGGCTCATGCTTCGACCGTGGCTTCGGCAGTGCCCGCGAGCAACCCGCTCGCTCGCCTGCCCGCAATGCCATCTTCCCCGGCCGCAGACTGCCAGGCGCGCCCTTAGGCCCCTCCCTGCCTTGTCCCTTTCGCATCCTATCCGATCCCTCCAAACAACTACGACTGAGTCGCCGGACCGCATTCCCCTGCGAAAGCAGCTGAAACAGGATGCCAAGGCCGTCAAGGCGCGCAAGCGACAAACTCGAGAGAATGAGGAGGCATCCCGAGAGAAGTGGGAGTTGACCGTGGGCATTGAGATCCACGCGCAGTTGAACACAGAGTCCAAATTATTTTCGCGTGCGTAACTGGACTGTAGGCGATTGGGTCGAATTGTCTGGCTGATCGCTGAGCAGGAGCGTCTACGTCATCTACGGATCTTCCCAACTCGAACGTTGCTCTGTTCGATCTGGCATTCCCGGGGTCGCAACCGGTTTGTGGATAAATTCTCTATGCATGAGGTGCAGGTACTTACACATATGGTGTAGGAGTTCCAAATCGCAACGCTCCTCCCCGCCCTGCGCGCCGCCCTTGCATTGAATTGCGAGATACAGCCAGTCAGCAAATTCGACCGAAAGCATTACTTCTACCAGGACCAGCCGGCTGGATACCAGATCACTCAATACTATGGTAATCCAGCATCCTTTCTCTCCCCGCAGATCAGCGCTCTAACTCAGGGTAGAGCCTTTTGCAAAGAATGGCTATGTAGACCTGTTCCGCCACGACGGCATTGCGCCTGAGGACGGCGACACGGTTCGCATTGGCATCAAGCAGGTTCAGATGGAACAGGATACCGCCAAGTCGCAAGAATACCCGCCCTCAACCCAACTACTCGACTTCAACCGTGTCTCCCACCCCCTCGTCGAGATCATCACTATGCCGCAGATCCATACTCCCGCCACCGCGGCCGCCTGTGTTCGGAAGATCCAGTCCATCTTGCAGTCGTGTAATGCGGTGACAACTGGCATGGAGCTGGGAGGACTGCGGGCTGACGTCAACGTCTCTATCCGCCAGCGAGGTGACACAGCCGGCACGCATCAGTATGGCGGCATCGGCGGACTTGGACAACGCACGGAGATCAAGAACCTGAGCAGTTTCAAGGCGGTCGAGGATGCCATCATCGCGGAAAAGAACCGGCAGATTGCCGTCCTTGAGAGTGGCGGGGTGGTAGAAGGGGAGACCCGCGGCTGGACGATCGGAAGCACCGAAACGCGCAAACTACGAGGCAAAGAGGGGGAGGTCGACTATCGCTATATGCCCGATCCAGATCTCCCACCTCTCTACATCGGTGCCGATCTCGTGGCAGCGCTCCGAACCAATCTTCCAACGTCCTCGGATGCACTCATTGAGCTACTGGCCGGGCCGGAGTATGGGCTGCCCATCGAGGACGCGAAGCCGCTGGTGGAACTGGAAGACGGCGCGCGGTTGGAGTACTACCAGGAGGTCGTGGACCTCCTGCGAGCGCTGCAGTCGGACCAGGATCCCAAGGCGCAGAAAGGATTGGCGCGGGTGGCTGGCAATTGGGTTCTTCATGAGCTCGGGGGCTTATGGGCCAAAGCGGAGGAAGCGTGGGATGCGGCGCGGGTGCCTGCCCCGACACTGGCCGCCCTGATCGACCAGCTGCAGCGGAAGCACATCACAGGACCCACGGCGAAGCAGGTACTCGCCATGGTGTTCGCGGGGGATGAGCGGCCGATCCCCCAGCTGCTGGAGGAGGAGAACCTGCTGCTGCGGCCACTGTCGCGCGAGGAGTATGTAACGCTGGCGGAGGCAGCAATCAGCTTGAACCCGGCAATGGTAGAACAAATCCGACAGAAGAACCAACTGGGCAAGCTGGGATGGTTTGTCGGGCAGATGATGCGTATGGGCGAGAAGGGACGAGTCGAAGCGCCGAGAGCAGATGCGATTCTGCGGGAGTTAATCCTGGATCAACGATAAGGTGAAGCTGTATAGTATGTTGTAAGATAAAAGCAATAGATAGCAATAAGCATGCATGATACCCATCACACGGCGATTCCCCCACCCTTATCCCCGAGCGTCATCTGTCGGAAGTGAATTGCTAATGGAAACGGGCGGAGGAAGTGGATGCTCTCCTGGACCTGTACTTAGGGGAACAACCGTTCCCTAAAAGCAGGTCTTAGCGATCGCGGACGCCCCACGGCTGAGAATGCTTTTAACCGGCTCGTCGCCCCTGCAATCCGCTTTCATTCTTCTTTCTTTCAGTATTATTCTCTCTCTCTCTCTCTCTATCTCTTTCTCTCCATTCCTCTCTTCATCACCTTCTTCTCTTTCCTCTCTTGCTCTTCTAAGGGTCCAACTTCTGGTGGTGGTGCTTTGGAGTCTACCTCGGATCGTCCCCACTCACGATCTTATCTCATCTTTGGGTCCGCCCTTCTAGAACCTTTTCTTTTTCTTCTTCATCCCACGCGACTTACCCCTCCAACTCTTCCCCTCACCTCTTCTCCCCTCTCTCTCACATTATCACCATGACTTCTCCTTCGACAATTCGGCAGAGATTTCTCTCCAAGCCCAACCAGCTGGGCGTCGTGGCCGTTGGTTTCAATGGCGGGCAGGTACGTACAAAGAATTTCATGACGACGGATCCGTCGATCATCTAGTAGCGTGCATAGTAGGAACAAACCCCCCACTAACCACGCACCCTGGCCACAGTGCAAGATGGGCGTCGAAGCGGCCCCGATGGCTCTCGTTCAAGCCGGTCTGCTCGAGCAACTGCGCGACGATCTGGGCTACGAACTGCACTATGATGAAAAGGTCCACCACTACGAAGACAAGATGCCCGAGTCCGACCCCGACCACCGCGGCATGAAGAAGCCCCGGTCGGTCAGCGCCGTTACCGAGTCGCTGAGCGCCCAGGTCTACGAGCACGCCAAGGAGGGCAAGTTTGTGCTGACCCTGGGTGGTGACCACTCCATCGCTATCGGTACCATCTCCGGCACGGCCAAGGCTATTCGTGAGCGACTGGGTCGTGAAATGGCTGTTATCTGGGTGGATGCGCACGCTGATATCAACGTCCCCGAGATGAGCCCTAGTGGTAACATCCACGGTATGCCCATGGCGTTCTTGACGCGCTTGGCTCGTGAGGAACAAAAGGATATCTTCGGCTGGCTGCAGGATGAGCATATTATCAACACCCGCAAGCTGGTATACATCGGTCTTCGGGATGTGGATCGCGGTGAGAAGCAGTTGCTTCGTGAGCATGGCATTAAGGCGTTTAGCATGCATGATGTTGATCGGTAGGTTTCCTCCTCCACCTTCTTACCCTTAAGTATCCTCCGATGGTGCGGTGGTGTTCTGACAACCTGCAGGTACGGCATTGGCCGCGTGGTCGAAATGGCCCTGGCGCACATTGGCAATGACACGCCGATCCACCTGTCGTTCGACGTCGACGCGCTGGACCCGCAGTGGGCGCCTAGCACGGGTACCCCTGTGCGTGGTGGACTGACGCTGCGCGAGGGTGACTTCATCTGCGAGTGTGTGCACGAGACGGGCAACCTGGTGGCGATGGATTTGGTGGAGGTGAACCCCAGCCTGGAGGAGCATGGAGCTAGCGACACTATTCGGACGGGATGTTCGATTGTGCGGAGTGCCTTGGGAGATACTCTGCTGTAGGTGCAGTGGCTGCGAATTCTTATGGAAAGAACTAGAGTAGACTAGATAACTAATGAGCAATCTGAAACTAAATCAATATTAAAGCTTATCCGGAGTAACATTAGTTAGTGTGAGCTTGACTACTGCGGGATGGATACATGGATGGATGGATGGTTGTAGATACTAAATTTACCCGCCCTGCCACCGCATTAGTTTCGTCCTGCCACCGGAATTTCCAATGCCCATCATGAGTAGTACTCCATAATTGTCTTTCATTCTCTAATTTACTCTTCTTGCATTCTTTCATTAACTTGTCACTTGTCATTCCTTGATTTTCTTTTCTCCCTCGTTTTCTCCATACTTGATACCTACACATCAAAGCACAGTTCTAGACCCGCCAGGCATCATATCATATCCGCCCAACCCACGCCTCGTCTCGCCTCGCCCCAGCTCCCCATTGCGGTCAACCCCGATGCGTTGTCAATACTAGACAACCTAACCTAAACCAAGTTGAATGAGGTTAAGGCGGAGTCATTGTTTCAGCCTGATGATATAATGCGATCTTTATCTCAGCATACCCCGGAAGATTCTTGATACATACCTACCTACCTACTACACCTTAGTATCTTTCACCACTCTATATACATCACCAACCCAATTGCCTACTATATACCAAACACATTTTACTACTACACACCACCACCCCAAGAAAAAGAAAACCACAATGGCAATGCGAATCTACCACCGCCGTCCCCGCCGGTATCACTGGCCGGAACTCCAACTCAACATCTGGATCCTAGTGGTTCTCTCATCCTCCGCAATCTGCCTGGGCATATTTGCCTGGTTCATGACAGTCCAAAACGATCTGGGTTTAGAAGTTCCCTGGTACGCTAACCCCCAATTTCACCCACCCTCAACCCTTCAACCTACTATACTAACCCCAGAGGACGGGACAGGTTATTTCCCTACATGATAACAACCGGCGCGCTGGGCATCTTCTTCGTAATATTCATCCTGATCCTGGCGGCGCAGCGCTTCCTCCTTCCGGGGATCATCATAGTAGGGGGGTTTATTCTCTTCGTGCTGTGGTTGACGGGGCTGGTGGAGACATCGCTCCAGCTGTATGGGGTTGTCGCGAACGTGAATGATAATTGTCGGAATTATATTGATAATGTTAAGCCTGTGGCGGATGGGTGGAAGACGTTGGCGTGGATTGAGGAGGAGACGATTTGTGAGTGTTCATTCTTTTCCTTTCAAGGGGGGAAGTGTTTGGGGTAAGGGTATTTGCTAATGGTGTTTGGTGCAGGCAATTGTTGGAGAACGGCGTTTGCGTTTGAATTGGTGAATACGATTTTTTATGTCTGGATGATTATTATGTCGTGGCAGGTTAATCGGGATCTTTATCGATAACCTTTCCTTCTTTCTTGAAGTGGGAGAGAGGGGAAAGAGGGGGAGGAGTTAGGGTTCAGTTCATGTATTATGAGATATGATTGTATGATTTCAATGGATGATATAGAGCTCTTGCTCGGTCTTATACTACTTGGTTACTAGGCATCAGTGGCATGCAGCTATATTCAGTATTGTATTTTCCTATATATCTCAAACGCCCTCGCTATGCCATCACTTATTGGCAAAACATGGCAAACATGGCAATATCACAACGCCAAATACATCCAACTTAAATATCCCAAACCAACTACCTATCCGTTCTCATTCGCAATTTGTTCCTCCGCCTCCGAATTGTAATCCCCTCCCTCAAATGCAGCCATCATCTCGCGCTCCAGCTCGTCATCCTCATCAGCTGGATCCACCTCTGCTGGATCAGGCGGGCTCGACTCTTCAGCAACCTGCTCCGGCTCCTCTGTCCCCGGCTCAGTCGCAGATGCTGTTGTACTTGCTGTCGACTCTACCGTCCCTGCACTGGCTACCTCCTTCAACCCCGTGCTGCGCTCATATGACCGCTTGATCCGCTGCGATAGCCGCGAGCTTGGCTCATCGCCCTCGCCAGCACTATCCGTCTCCTGGTCATCGTCGCCCTCGCCGCCTTCTCCTTCCTCGCGCTTCCGCTTCTTGCTGGCAGGAGTGCCTGGTTCATCCATGAATGTGGCTTCGCTGTCGCTCTCGCTCTCATCGTCACTACCCAGGAACTCCTTCAGCTCTTCATGAACCTCGGCCTGCTCCTCGTCGTCGTAGCCGAGGGGCGACATTTCGGATATGCCTGCGGATTTGAGAATTTCCTCTGTTGCCTCTTCGTCATCCGCTACAGAGTCGCCCGTCGCCTCGTCCGACGATGAGAGCCACCCGCTCTCCGCTACCTCTTTGGATCCCGGTGATATTGGCTCGCCGCGGTCGTCTGGGTGCACGGGAAGGAGGTACGGTTCCTCCGCTAAGCGCTTCCATTGCGTCAGGCAGTCCAGGAGCCATTGTGTCGTAACAATCTTGACTTTCGGGTACCGGGTCGCTTCGCGCACTTTGGCTGTGCGGTTTCGCCCCGCGACGAGGTGCGTGGTCTTCATGTTGATCTTTGATGCAATGACTGCCCCGAAGCTCTTCGCCCAAAGGGAGATGTCGGCGTTTTGTGTATCCGTGCCGAGGGGAAGCACGCCCGAGAACACGAGGGTCACGCCGCCGAGGATGCGATGCTTCATGTTGGGCATGATGATTTTGACATCCGGTACGAGTTTCAGGTCGACGTCCTTCTCCTTGGACGGGGTCTTTTCGCCGCGCAGGGCGGCGACTCGTCCGCCCAGTGCCCGTGAACGTCGTCTGTCGTATTCGTCGAAAAAGTCTCGGTGTACTTGCTCCAAACGCACCTCGAGGTCGAACAGCTCCCGATCGTTGTCCTCCAATAGGTGATGTCGGTGCTTGCTCATATCTTGTGAGTCGTCTATGCTGCTGGAAGTATCGCTGCTCTCTGCTGCATCGTCCTCCGCGTCTAGCTCCTTTTGCTTCTGCAGTAATGGTCGGTCCTCCACTTGATGCATGATTGTCTCCTCTTGTGCATCACTCTGTTCTTGTAGTAGCCTGGGATTATCGCCGCCACCCATGGTTACCAGCTGCTCCAATGTCGATACCTCTGTCTGATCGTCTCTCTTTGCCGTCGCCCCGTTGACATGATGTTCCGCCAAACCCCCCTTGGCGGCCTTCGCTGCCGGCTTCTCACCCCCTTTGCTGGGAGGTCCCAGCTCCTGCTTCTTCGGGAGGAAACTAGAGTTGATGTCCCCGATGCCGACGAAGAAGTCGTACGGCGACACCTTGATGAGATTGGGGTTCCAGCGCCAGACGTCCCCGCGGTCATCGATAATGACGACCATCTTGGTGTCCACCGGGAATAGCCGGTGCAGGTTCTTGGCCACCAAGCTGCCACTCTCATCTCGGCTGAGAATACGGTCACCAAAAAGTTTGCGGTCTGGATCTATGATACTAGCGATATGTTGCGCATAGGACCTCGTGCCCATGGTGTAAATATGCAGCTCATACATCTCCGACACATTCTGCAGAAACGACTCTAGCCCTGGTCGTAGCTTCACATAGTACCAGCACCCGCGCATTCCCGGCCCATCGTCTACCAGCTGAAACGCACGCACATCGCTCAGAGCCTGATAATTCGGGTTCTCCTTATCCTGCATCCACTCTCCGACAGTCGGGTCGACGGTAGCATGAATAATGGTCTGGTCCAGATCGACGACAAGCGACAGTTTCCGATTCGCCAGTAAGCGGCGCTTCGCATCCTCTTCAACCCGCGTAGCTTCTTGTTCACTAACAGTCAACGTAGTATTATCGTGGGCCATTTGAATCGGCGCCCGATGCACATCAGTCACCTCGGTATTGTACGAAAAACTGCACCACAATCGTAAGTCAGGCCCAACACAAAAACACCCGGGACCACTTACTCAGTCATATCCTTGCCACAAATGGCACAGAGCCCACCAAACTGAACCTCATGAGCACATGGCTCATCGATTTCCAAAACATCGACCCTAACTTAATGTTAGCATCCCAACACCGATCCAAACACATCACAGCAGGGCGTCGGAACATACGGCTCATCAATAACATCCCCCTTTGAAATCTTCCACTGCACCACCTCTCCATCAACCGTCGACTCAAACTTCGTCGGAAACTTGCGCTTCACATCCACCTTATTTCCCAGCCCATCCCCCTCCGTCACAGTCGTCTGGTACACATACCAGAACAGCGCCTCATCCCGTTCCACCTTATCACCGGGCTGTTTCAGCAGCGACGTGACGGTGATCGGGTAATGGAGGCTAGGCGGTAACCGGAGAAGCATGCCTGGATAACTCTTTCACACGGCTCGGCTCAGCAAGCTCTCCTAGTATATGTAGGTATCCAACCCCCCTCCTGCCTCCCTAGCACCGAGAGCGAGGCAGTGTCGGACGAGGGGCCGCGGACGGGTTTGTTTTCGATAGCGAAAGGAAAAGAAAGGAAGAAAAGAAATGATCGAGCTTGAAGCTATGAAGCCATTCCCGAAACTTCTGCCGTCGGGAGGAACAACAGCAAGCTAGCTTGATCGCAGCGGCGCACGAGAATCTCGATACGAAGTAAGTGTGTTTGAATGGAACGAGGTCAGGTGGACAAGTGATGGAGTTGTCGCGGGATGGTTCGCCACGCCAGGACGCGACGAAGACAATAAGGCGGGCGCGGGTTTGCGCTGTGGAGATGTGTTGGGTTAAAGGTTGAGAGCGGGTCAATCTGGGCTCGTGTTATCGAGCGCAGACTAAGTGACAGGGAAGCGATCGGATATGAAGATCGAAGAGCGGTTGAATAGAAGGGCAGGCGTGGGAGGATGATGAAACAAAGACCGAGCAGAGAGAAAGCCTGGATGGAGGAGGTGGTGAGAGCGTGATGAAGAAGGCTTGGCTGCCAAGAGCGCTGCTTGGGTTTGGCGCCTGGCCTGTGCGGGGCGAGACTCGCCGGCCCAGACTCGGCTGGTACCGCGGTTGCTGGTTATTGTGACTGCATCACACGGTTTACGCCATTTGCATTCATGTTTAAGGTGTTACTATCATATTTCATACAGTCAAGATTCTCAGTGCCCAAATAAAGGTCAAATAATATCACCGGCTTTCCATTGAAGATCCCTAGAATCTATCCGGCAACCGCTGCAAACATGAGGAAAACCATTCACAACATCACGTGTGTTCGTCTGCCAAAATCATAGATCAAGCTACAAGAAGCAATAATGACAGCAACAGCTGCATCATAGATACCACATCAACCCGCAGAACTAATTTACTTAGCCTTGGCCAGACCAACAGCGCTGTTGCCCAGGTCATACACGCTGTACCACTTGCGCAGGAACGCATCGCCCAAAATGGCCAAAGGACCAACCGGCTCAGGGAAGTCCATGCCCATGAAGGCACTGACGCAAGAGCCCTGCACCTCCAAGGTGTAGTCATACGAGGAGATGGTGAAGTTGTGGCCGGCAAGGGTGAAAGTAACATCGGGCAGGGACGAGCGCTTGTCGCAGTCAACGGTGTACTGGCCGGTCCAGCCCTTCTTAGCACCGATCTGAGCATTGCTAGGAGGTTGTTAGCAGCATTTCTTTTCAACCCAGGAATCCGAGGAATTCGACTTACATCATCTCAGCCAGGTCAGCAGGCAGAGCAATCAGGGAGGTACCAGTGTCCAGAATGACACCGGTGTTCTCCATCTCAGCAACATCATCGCCAAGAGCAATGGCGTCAAGCTCAACCTCCCAGTAAGCCTTGCGACGGAGGGGGATCTTGATCAGCTCGCCGGTGTAGTGGTCCTTGTCGACACCACCGAAGGTCGCCACGGACTCGTCACCCTCCTTGTTGGTGTCTCCAAGGTAGAAGGCAAAGACCGGCTCGTCGAGGAGCCCCTGGTCAAGCATGTTGTAGAAGGGAGGAACAATCTTGTTCACGGAGATGGTGTCATAACCCAAGCCGAGAATGCCATCGAACCGGCCGAAGGCAAAGGCAAGGCCAGGCTCATTGGTCGCCTCAGCGAAGTCCTGTCCCTTGACCTTCAGGTCGCCAATCTTCAGGGTGTCCTGAGAAATGAATCCGCTAAGGCTGCCAGAGCCGTACTTGATGGCGAATTCACTGCCATTCTTGTGATACGTACTGGAGGCAGACGAATCATACTTGTTGTGGAGGTAGCAGGCGATAGAGCTGCATTCGCTCGAAGGAACCCAAAGGTTCGAGCTGCCAGTGTCCAGGACAACCTTGAACTTCTGGGGGGGAGTACCCAGCTCGATCTCAGAGAAGTCTATGGCAGGAAGGGTCAGCAGTAGTTGCAGCCATAAGAAGACGGTATCTCCATACACTGTGCGTTCAGGAAGTTGTCCACCAGAACATCATGACGGCTCATGTCATTGATAGGGTTCTCCTCGACCAGCTCTTTGTGGATGGACGGGCGGATACCCATGTACTTCTGGCCCAGAGCGCGGACATGGGCGTCGATGTTATGCGTGTACTATAGACCACGAAATCAGCTTTGAATGGTTCTGGAGCTTCTTTGAAGCTAACTAGCTAGAAAAACAAAAACAGTGAAAGACCGCACTCACAAGCTGCTCTTCCAGAGGCACCTTGTTAAGCTTGAGCTTGTGAACCTCGGCGGAGGCACAGCCCAACAGCACGGATGCTGTGAGCAAGGAGGCTGACTTCATGATGGGCGACGGCGGAAACGGCTACCCAGCGGGATATGATGGACTGGGCCAAACGACTGAAGGATGCACGTATGAATAGAAAATGATGATAGAGACAAAGAACGATGAAGAAGAGATGGAGGATAGCAAGGGAAAAGAGGAGGTCTGGGGGTAGGGAAGAGTGATGCGGGTGACTTGGAGCCGGGCGGCGCTGGTTGCGGAGCGACCTGCCAGGTCGCAGCCAATGGTTGGCCAGCCCGGCTGCGTCATTTGGCAAGGGGATCGTCACGGGTTATCGCTCCAGGTGATTGTAGCTGCCATGTCTTCCAGGTACATCTTCTCTAGGCTCTTAACGATCAGGTACAATAAGCCTGATCTAGCTATCCCATCTTTCCGTCATAATATCTACCTTTGAGTCTCATTCAGAGCTGTCTGGAAGGTCTCCTTGCTACCTGAGGCCTTATCGTGATGGTCGGATCACGCGAATCCGAGCGCGGGTGATGATGTAAGACCGCCTTAGGTTCCCGGTGCCTGCCTACTTCAAACTAGCGCAACCGCCTTACCAAACTAGCCAACAGCTGCGGACAGGTCCTATCTACCTATCGCTGACCTGTCTACCAAGTAGGCAGCAGACAGCCAGACACGTACTCCTGTAGATCATGGGAAGCTCGGTAGCCGTCCAACTGGAGCTTACATATGCTAAATCACCGCCCCAGCCAAGTGGCGGTATTAGCGTGGGTTACAGTTCTACGAAGGTACTTGGTCCCAACCGATAAGACTACCCCAGCGGAATACCCAATGCGTCAGTCGTTGTCCTAATATGAAATAGCCTAGATGTTGATAATACAGCTAACGGTCCCCCTGTTCGCCTTGCGTAATCCGATATCCAGCCTGATGCACGTCCCATACTTGATTTACCGGTAGAATTCAAGTCTATATGCTTGGTTAGCCATGTCCCGATCGCGGGTAGATTAGAAAATGTCCCGTACCTATCCGCTTCCTGTCCGGTCTTCACCTGGGCGGCGTAAGCATCCTCGAGATCAGACTGGATGATGTTGTAACGGTTCTTCCGGACAGCACGGAGACCCGCCTCTTGCATGATAGCGGCAATGACCGCACCCGAGAGGGGCTCATTGCGCACAATCAGCGAGTCCAGGTCAACTTCCGGCGAAAGCGACATCTTGGATGCTATCGTAGAGAAAATCAACCGGCGCTCACGCCGGTCGCGCAAAGACGGGAACTCGATCTTCCGGTCCAGACGACCCGGACGTAGCAAGGCCGGATCCAGAGTATCGGCTCTGTTGGTGGCCATGATAACCTTGACATTGCTCGACTGCTCGAATCCATCCATTTGGTTGAGAAGCTCCAGTAGAATACGCTGCACCTCACGGTCTGCACCGGTCTGGGCGTCGAAACGCTTCGTGGCGATGGCATCAATCTCATCGATGAAAATGATGGCCGGTGAGTTCTCCCGCGCCATTCTGAAAACATCACGAACCATGCGAGGTCCTTCACCCAGGTATTTCTGAACGAATTCCGAGCCGTTTACACGGATAAAGCTGGCGGTTGTGCTGTTTGCCACCGCCTTGACCAGCATGGTCTTACCCGTACCGGGAGGGCCGTAAAGGAGAACACCGCGAGGAGGGTCGATACCTATCGCCAGCATCAATACTCTGTTCTTACCAGTGAGAACAGCAATGAGAGGAGACTAAGCTCACCGATCTGCTTGTAAAGGTCAAATTGCGTCAAGGGCAGCTCGACTGCTTCCCTGATCTCCTGCTTCTGCATGTCAAGACCACCAACATCCGCATAGGTCACATCAGGCTTCTCATTCTCGCCCAGCATAGCGATGGAGGAGTCAGCCTCCGGAGGTAGGATATCGACAAGGGCGTTGGAGTGACGGTGGAGTGCGACCGAGGACGAAGGCTTGAGCTTCTCGCGGTCGAGCGTGGACAGGATACGGACGACATAATTCGAACCGGTCGACGACTGCACAATACCGGTACTGCAATAATTAGTTATTGGTTCCATTTCGAAAGCTCTGCGCGGCACCATACTTCTGATCGATCGCCTCCATGAACTGGCCGATAACCAAAGGCACACTCTGTATCCGCTTAATCTCTTCCTGCGCACGAACGAGTTCTCTCTTCAAGCTCCTGTACGGGTAGCAGATGTTAGCTCGGGCATGAAAAGCTCGGAGGAAGATGGTATATAGCTTGCCTTTGCTCATCCTTGATGTACTCCTCCTGAAGCTGAATGTACCTGTTATTGAAGAGTCAGCATGTGCCGCGGCAACATCATCACCGTTAGAACTTACTCTAGGTGTCTCTGCAATCTCTTCAGTGTGGCGTATTCATCGCTCCCATCATTTCCTGTGCCCTCGAGCGAGTCTATGTTGGGGATCGTGTCCAATGGAGCTGCCTTGGTGAGAGGCGTGACGTTGTTCGCCGGGGTCTCGACGGCGACGTCTCCCATGGCGGAAATCTGGTAGTAACCGGAGCGGGTGTGAAAAGAGCAAGCGCAGCTAACTGTAAGTTAAAAAAAGAATATGCCCCAGAGAATAATGGATCGATCAGTGGTGGGCAAGTTGGGAAGGATTTGGCTCGTTGGATCTATTGCGTCGATGCCAGACAGCCCGGCTCAGGAAGCTCACGGGCAGAGGTCATGTGACCTGGTAGCTCGGCGGCCCGGCTGATACAGTGGCGCAGGACAAAGCCTTTCGCTCAGTCATGATCGATAGCTAACAAATTGGCACGAACAACTCATTTATCTTCATCGATGGCTAATAAGTGTATTTGGTATATTTGCAGGCTTTGATTTTTTTTCAAAATATAATTACACAATTTGTAAATGTACTGTTGTGGCCTGATAAGCGTCTGCCAAATATTGTTAGCTGCCGATCTATATACTTCAATGGTTCCCCTCAGAAATAGAAGCCCTCCCAACTAGTAACAAAAAGCATCCAGCTGCTATTGCGAGACATAGGCCGATATGTCTGGGCTTGTACTCTAATCACTCCTACATCGAATTCATCAACTACTAAACTATGAGGCTGGCGACGTTTGCTATTATTCTGTACCAGGTAGGACTCAATAACGCCGATTTGGCGGACGACCAAATCGAAGTTGGCTACGGACATACAGATGACTTGCAAAGCGTAACAAACATAAGGCAGTGTGCCTGTGCCCTGTTTGATGAGATAGAGGGTAGATTACATCGAGTTAAACCAAGGCATTTGCGGAGGACAAAGAACTCCCCATTCATCAAATCGCGTATAGTACTCCGTAGTAGACCCGAAGATTCCAGACTCAGTTGGGGGGAATGGTGCATGGTCCACCGTCCACACAGTCACATGACTTATTAATTACCTAATACCAATTATGAAGCCTAATCGGGTAAAATCACCAGCAGGCTGGATATGGAGGCTTATTCTCTGGGTTCAGATAGTAACAAGACACGTTGTGAGCTCTGTTCAGCCAATAGCATCAGCGGCCACAGGGGTTTCGCCGCGAGGGCTTTGGAGATAAGGTGCAGTCCCTGCATGTGATGCCATCGCCTCTATAGGAATTCTACGTCGTCAATATCCCTCCCATGCGAAAGTGAGCCCACAGGTTGACGGCGGAATGCCACGAGCTGGTAGGACTGTAATGAGCCATAATATATATGGCAGCTTGATACTTATACACTTGTACAGGTGCCGCTTGCCTGACCTGCCGGCAAAAATGCCGCAAGTGTGATCGTGGCCGTCCGAGTTGTCAACGATGTGTCTCCAAAGGTTTAGTATGTGGAGGATATCCAGAACGGTTCAGGTTCTGCGGAATTGCCAGTCGAGGTAAATGGAAGGGTGCTAGGATACCAACCAGCAGTAGAAGCTCTACCGGTGGTCGATCAGAAATAAGCAATGCTATCTCGGATACCCAGGTGCCACCGGCCCAGGAAGTCACCGAGACTACTCACCTAGACTCGGAGGGTGACCAAGCTTCTGCAGCCATACTCAACGGTAGCTCAAAGACGACACCCAAGGGACTTTCTGTTTCTGAAAAGCCATCCGAAGCTTACAGTCGGCCACTGCTAGAGCTTCCAGACGATGTAACCACACTTCTTGATTCGCCCAACACAGCCAGACTGTTAAGCCACTGTAGGCTTTACCCCTCAGACCATTGTTAGAAAACACTAACAATACGCCGCAGACGATGAGATTATTTGCCCTCATCAGATAGCCGAGGTTGGGGATGACGCAGAGAACCCTTACCGAGCGTATATCCTCCCGCTGGCGCGCAAGAAGATCGGGCTATTGTATGCTGTTCTTGGGCTTTCTGCTTCGCACCTCGGGCGGATAACTGGTGATGAATTCTTACACGAAGCCACGGCGGTTGAATACCGTATGAAAGCTATACGTGCCCTGAGCGAAGAAATTCGGAAGAGCCAAAGGACCTCTTTACTTGAAGACGAACAGGACACCGTCTTAGCGATAATTCAAGTCCTGTTGCTTCATGATGTAGGCTTTGGATGCCCCCATTCGTGGCCTGAGCATCTAAGCTAACATGAAGATAGATTTCTGAATCAGGGGTATCGAGCCATGGCATTCATATTACAGGTGCTATGTCCGTCTGCAAACAACTTTTGATTGCTGAGGGGCTGCATGGCCGACGCCAGCGGGCCATGTTCTTCCTCGGTAACCTGGCTTGGTATGTTGAAACAGGCCTGCTGTTTTCGATACAAGGCTCACTAGTGAACAACCAGGCTTGACATAATTCGAGCGTCCGCTGGCCCCGAGAGAATGTGCTTTTCTCAAGATATTCGCGAGTTAGTCGCTTGCGCCAGCGATAGAAAGTTCGAATTGGTGAATGGGTGCCCGAGAGAAGTCTTTCTGGCTATCGGCGCAGCACTGGAAAAGGCAAAGGAACATACACTGGGCTGGCTTACTTGGGATGAATATCAAATCGCCCTGCTCCTAGCAAAGCACAAGCTCTATGCATGGGACCCAAAGGGAAGAGAGTACCCTAGCCATGAACCTCGCTGGCTATCCATAGCGGAGGCTTTCCAGTTTGCATGTATCTTGCGTATTCTTCGGCTGCTAGACCCGTTGAAGCCAGCTAGCAGCTCTGATATACAGGACTGCGTTCGAAGGATTCTTGACGCGACGGCGATGATTACTCCAGATTGCTCGTTACTGGAAATCCTTGTATTCCCACTCTTTATGGCAGGTTCCGATTGTCTCTCGCGCCATTCGCAGTATTATGTTCTTACGAGATTGCGCGACGTTGAGCGTAGATCGGAATTCCGCAATCCGGTCCCTGTTGATTTACTAAGAAAGGTTTGGGATGCTCGTGCGGCCCAGGCCGAAGATGATCATACAAATATCTCATGGACAGCATTTGTAAGTGATAGTTTTCAAATCTCGGGTTTTCCAGGCTTACCATTCGATCTAGACACACTTTCCCGGACTGGCACGGCAGCATGACTACCTAATCATCTAAAGATATACGCACATCGATTACTATCGATAATCATGCTTCGTATTTGCAGGGTCTGAAAATCGCCGGTGGATTGTCTATTGTCTACCTAGAAGGTGATCGCGAATGATGACATATTGTAAATGCTGCCAGATCATTAATTTTCAGAGTCCTTGCGCTGATCAGGATCCATGTTCGTTTCGATCCGACGAATTACGCGGGCTGGATTTCCGGCAACAAAATGAAAAGGAGGAACGCTCTGGGAATTAGATTAACCGATGAGTCCATAAAGACAATAGCCAGCAAATGATGTATAACATACCCTCGTCACCACAGAGCCAGCGCCCACCGTGCTTCCCCGTCCGATAGTAACACCGGCTAAGATGATTACACTGCCTCCTATCCAGACGTCGTCTTCGATATGTACTTCCTTGCCGGCTTCTGGGCCCTCCGGACCTCGTCGCACAGCCGGGTCCATGGGATGGGTAGCCCCGTAGATACAAAGATTGGGCCCGGTAAGCACCCTTTCACCAATTGTCACGAGACATGTGTCCAGGACAAGAAGGTTGAAGTTCAGAAAGGTTTTCTTGCCGACTCTGAAGTTCAAGCCGTGATCCACTGAGATGGGAGGATCGACAAAGGGATCCGTATCTTCGAAAAGCTTTTCATCCTCCTGGGGATTGGGATGGACTGGAGGCAAAGGGCGCGTATCACCTAGGATGCTGTACATCGGGTAGTCAGTTTAGAGAGCATTCTCAAAGGCCGGTAGAAGATCTCACTCTCGCCAGAGCTCCACCTTGCGACGCCGGGAGACTTGACCAGCTTGATTGAATCTGTCGCATGCTTCTTTGCAGCGTTGTCGATTGGCCTGAAGGTCTGCATCCCAAGCATTGTAGAGCTCACCATTGAGCATCTTCTGCCATTCTATCGATGTCGTCATGGTTCTGATTTGGAATGCTGTCAGGTTATGAGATGCTTAAGAGGAAGAGGCGGATGTGAGATTGTAGCACCATTATATAGCATTTGTGAACGGGCTAAAATAATTCGAATCTTTCGAACTTGGGTCCCATTGCAGAAGTTGTGGCCATTCATGTTCCAGTGCGACGAGCTGGCGGGTTGGGAATACTTCCGAATTAGGCAGTTTATACCTCGGCCGGTGCAAGGTCACAACTTCCAGCTTGTGGATACGCCGAACCAGAACCATGAGGAGGGGTTTGCTGGAGACGATATGATTCACTTTCGTTCTTTCACTATGCATAAGCTGCCGTGCTATAATTATGGGGTTGGATTGATATCTATGCATGCTATCGTGACAGGAAATTAGATAGTAAGGAGACAGCATGCTATACAAAAATCATGAGTACGGTATTCGATGCCGGACGGATTTTGAGACAATGTAACGTCCTCTCACTGTAGCTCAGTTGACAGATGATGCATGTATAATTTCTGCATCACAGATAAAAGTATGTTAGTTCATGATCTAGAACAAACACCAGTTAAGATTCAGGGATCAGGCAGGATCTCAGGCTGCCACTGATGACGTAATACACAACCCGACATGGCGATTAACTAATCTGCCACCACGGTCCGCCTACTCAATCGGCTCACCCCTTTTACCCGCTGCCCGACTGCTACCGACCTGTGCTCCTGCTCCTGCTGCTTGCTGCTTGCTGCTGCTCCAGGCTGGTTGCTGCTGCTACGTACTACCGGTAAGATAAAACTTACTGGAAACCCTTACGCCAGTCCCATCCGAACTTGCCTATCGTTCTTGTTCCCTTGTCCCGTCTGGCTGAATTCTGATTCTCGACTCGTGAGGCGCGCCTCTGATCACTCCACGCCCGTCCCCATTCCTGCCTTCCCAACCCCGTGTGCCTCTCCACCTTTCCAGAAGGAGACGCCCCCTCCCTTCCCTTGGGAAGCAAAAAAGGAATCTAGAAATCCAAAATTAATCGGTGCAAATAAAATACCAGATTTCCAGGTACTGCAGTGTACCGAATCTTTACGGAGCTTTAAGTCCAGGTACGCCTGTCATTCCTCACTATTGATCCCACCCCCCGCTTGTCTCCCAGTCATTGGATTTGCCTTCCACACGCCTCACACAACTGTGGCCACGCACTAAGTGCTGGCCACCCTTTCACCCATTCCTCGGCAGTACCGCGCACGTTGCTCAAAAGCCATCGCTGGTGGTCCTTTCTTCCATGGGTTGCAGGCCTTTCTATGGCTGATCCATCATTCTGCTTTTGATCATTTTATTTTCTGCAGCTTGTTGTCATTCTAAAATCCACCTGAAACCTCCACCCCCCATACTTCCCAAGATCGCCTTGCGATTTGCTGATCGGTCTTCTGCCACTCAGTGCCGCTCGCAACGCCGCTGCTAATCCTCACTGGATTTTCTGCCTTTTTGCGGTACCAGCGACGTTCCATGGTCCCGTGACCTGCTCGATCTCCTCGCAATCTCTCTCGCCGGCCTTCCAACCACTGCTATTCGGGACCGGCCTCCATCCGCTTGTGAGTCGGCATTTTTAGTTGTCCAGCCTTGTCGGTATGTACATCCTGCCTGTCCCTTACAATTTTCCTTTTTAAGAAATCATCAATCCACCCACCCCAGATTATCCCATCCCCCCCCGTCTCTCCCCCAGCTACACGTTGGGGTGGCTGTTCTCGGTGTGGTGTGTGGTCGCTGCTTCGTGTCGCAGAGCGACAGCGCGACACCCTTCACTGTCAGCTTCCTCACCTGACGCGTCTAGACCTTCTTCCACCCTACAAATCTGGGAGATTGTGTCATTTACCCCTAAAAAATAAGCTCGTGATGACTGTAACACTGCTGTTCTTATCGGTCGCGTATCGATGATGATCTTGGTGCTCGTGTCATTTTTCTGACAGCTCTGGTTACCTTACAGATGGGTTGGTAAAACCACTCGACATGAATGACTGGCTAGCCGACGCCTCGAACCTTCCGAACCATGACAATGGTGCTTTTCACCAAGCGACCATTGATCCTTCTGCGGCATTCCTCCATACCTCTCCCACTCCCGACCCTACCCAGTTCCAGCGCATGTTCAATGGCGTGCCGCGAAATGCCTCCCCTGGCTTCCACAACCCGAACCAGGTGATTCCGTCGAAAAGGCCGCGACCAGAGGATGCCATGTCGATGTCGCCTCGACAGGCTCCCGGGGCTATCGCGGCATCCCGGTCCCAGACTCCTCACCAAGTGCCTTTTCCAGGGTACCAAGGAGCTGCGAATGGCGCGCCTCAATATCCTCCGCATCCGACTCCGTATCAGCACCTCCAGCAAAGAGCTTCTCCGAACGTCACCCAATCTCCGATCATGCAGGAATTCGACCAACACGGTGTACAACGAATGGGAACAGCTTCGCCTAGCCCGTTCTCCCCAGCCGGCCCTCAAGTAGGCTCCCACATGTCTCCGTCACAGTCGGATCATCCGAGTAGAGTGAACACGCCGCAAAATAACTCATTCATGCCCAATCAGCCCTTCCCTCAGCCCATGGCACCCCAGTTCCCGCCCGCGCCTGCGATGACTACTGCCGCTGTGCAGGCGCCGATGCAAGCACATTACGGTGGCATGCCTCAGGGGTATCAGCAGGCCATAGCTGCCCAGCAGCAACAGCAGCGAATGCATGCCATGCAGATGCAAAATCAAGGTCGTCCAATGGCGATGAATCCCGCCATGGCCGGGCGACCCGTGGCAGCTGGGATGAACGCGATGGCCAATCCTCAACAAATGGCCGCCATCAGGCAGATGCAACAGACCATGGCTAAACCGCCTAATCCGGAGGGGTTTATGAGGTCACTGCAGAAATTCATGATGTCGCGCAACCTGCCGCTCGATCCTAGTCCCGTTGTTTGCGGTCGCCCAATCAACCTGGTCCAGCTTTATGCTACGGTCATGAAGCTCGGAGGATCGAAGAAGATAACGGCTGCGAATATGTGGCACGTCATTGCACAGCAACTTCAGTTCCCGCCGATGCAGCTGCCGATGGCCATGCAGGAGCTTAGGGAGCATTATCAGCGGAACCTAGCTGCGTACGAGCAGGCCTTCCTCAGCACCCAGCAGAAGCAATTTGCGGACCAAATGCAGCAAACAGCGGTGCCACGCCAACCCAGTGACCCGTCTGCCATGCAGTTCCAGTCTCCAGCCATCAAACCGGGCCAGGGTTTTGAAAATGCACAGCAGATGGGACACCCATCGCCAAGCCCCGCGTCTGTATCAAGTAGCGTACAACATAACGCTTCGAATGGTTTCGCGACACCTACACCTGTTAAAACCCAGGGCAAGCCGCAGAATCAGCATCGTCTCAGTATTTCCCGCCAGTCACAGCCCCCAGCAACGCCCAATGATCCTACTGGCCAAATGCCGAGTCAATCGCCTGCGCAGCCGGGCAAAGGCCCAGGTCAAGTCCCCGGCAAGCCCTCGGAGCAGCTGGATCAGTCAGATCAGCCTTTGAAGCACCAGATCGAGGATCCCTATAAACCCATGGTCTTGCCAGAAAGCAATTTCCATGGACCCATAGCCATCGATGAAATGTATCAGATTGGGGAGGATATTACTCGATTGAAGCCTAATGTCCCCAGTTTTGCTGAGCTGGGTGTAATTGATATCCACGCTCTTACAATGAGCATCAAATCCGGGATACATGCTGAAATGCGCATGGCCTTGGATACGCTTACATCCATATCCTCAGAGCCGGCGATCCAAATATCGTTAGATAACTGCGACGATCTGGTGGAGAGCTTAATCGAATGCGCCGAGGACCAAGCAGAGTTTCTCGCGGAACATGCCGCAGAAGTGTCTGATATGATGCTTCTATCCTCATATGAAGAAGTCACTCGTGGGTGTCAATCGGAATGGACGTCTTTGGCGGATGTTCCAGAATTCGGCAGCCTCGACTACGAACTAGACCGTGCCGTCGACCGACTCATCTGCATTACAACCATACTACGCAATTTCTCGTTTATCGAGTCAAACTTTGGAATGCTGTCTACGCCTCCGGTTGTTCAATTCATGTCGACTATCATTCGTTACCTCGGCACACGCAATATGCTTCTAAGGACACATCAGAACACATTGGATTTCATGAAGGACACAGTAACATACCTCAGCAACGTGGCTCACACCATTCAGTTACCGAGTAAAGAAGAAGCCCTCTGTCTTCTGCATTTCCTTCTTGCTTTTGCACCATTCCCAGGACCTATGGGCTCGGAGGGTATTATGTTCAATTCATACAACCCCTCAGTTCACAAGTACACACCGGCAGCGGTTGATAGCTTGGCCAAGCTTCTGGCACGGGACGAGCCCAACCGGACATTCTTCAGAGCAATCTTCTCTGGCGATGGTGTTTCCATCCAGCAAGAGTTGCTGACTCGTGCCTTTGGTCTTGCCATTTGCCCGGTCCCTGATCAGCCGCGGAAACCCTTGGCTATAGCGGATGCTCGGAAGGTTTTCCTCATGCAAGGCCTTTTGGCAGCGGATATCCTTTCAGGTTTTGCGGATGGGCCTATTGCCAAGTCATGGCTGGAGTCGATCGACGGGTTTGCCATCCATCTCCTGCGACTCTCATGCCTCCTGAGCACGGAACGGGTTCCTCCACCGAACACCAACTCACGCCAATCCCATGCCGCAAGAGGCCAAGCGGAAGCGGAAGCTGCTGCTTACAGCTCCATAATCAATCGGGGTTTGGCGATTCTGCGTCGACTGGCCGAGAAGTCGAAGCTTGCTGATTCCAACGCCACGTTACGGTTCCCCTCGGGGATCATCCCAAGGAAAGAAAGCTTGCTTGGCGCACTGCTGATGCCTAGCATAGATCCTGGTGTTGTACGGCAATTGATAACTTATGCACGACTAGCGGAATGAATGTGGTAACTTCTGGAACGGGTAGGGTTTTTCTGAGATCATTTCTAGCGCGCTGGTTAACCCGAAGGTTTCATGTTTGGGCCACGCTTAGAACATGCCTTGTTGATGTTTGCTTCTGTCATGTCTTCTACTTCCAACCTTGAGTAAACAACTATCTACATCTCCGTTTTCTCCCTTTCTGTTCTCTTTTCATTTACTCTTTCTCTTTTGACTCTCTTACTCGATCTCGTGTGTTTGGCGCCGGTGGGAAGAACCTTTTTTCTTTTATCGAGAGAGGCGTGACAATGTGTATCTCTGTGCTTTACCGCTGTACAATGTTCAATACCCTCGGGCGACAAAAAAATCATGCATGATGTCTAAATGGGTAACTCTACTTTATCATGGCTCATCGACTGAACTTGTCTTAACCCGATTGATGCTGATACTATTACTGGTCTGAGCGTTTCTTTCCGAATTGGGAACAGTTCATAGACTAGTAGTTGGCGGTAAGCTCTGGTATGATGCCAGGACATCCCAGTAATCGTATGACGTGTAGTGTGATTGTAATATGACATGTGGTATGATGAGAAGAACAGCTGTTGTTAAAGTTACTAAGTTCCCAAAGAGATAGAAGATCGCTGGAGTAAAGTAATGGAAGACGTTAGATCGATTGATACTACTACTACACGCTAGTAGATAGCGGCAGGGTGGAGGAGATGAGACCACTTTCCGATAAATAGATAGTAATCATGTACCGAACCCGCAGCAGTTCGCCGTAGACTTGAGAGATGAAAGAAAAGCGAAATAAAAGGTAGAGATCACGCCAGTATACATACATACAACAGCCAGAAAAACAAAATCTCCGCGAAAGAAAGGGAGTTGTCACAGGAACACCAGCACTAGTAGGAGAGAAAGATAATACAAAGGTGAGTAATAAAGTAAGTAGAGGGAAACTTGAGAGGAAAAAGAGGAAAATGGGGCCGGGAAACATTATAACCAAGTATATCGACCATCCCTGACCATCGCAGATATGCGCTGCTTATTTTCTTTTCATCCCGTCGTTCTGGTTTGGCCCTTTTTTGTCTTCTTGTTACCAAGTCTGCAGTGTGTGGTTTCATTCTGTCCCTGGATCCCCATCGCCCCCTGTGATAGGCGTGACAATAGACAAGCGTGTGTATGTGGCAGTATCGTCGAATTCAATGAGTTGGTGCCGACGTAGGATTGAGGGTAGAAGAGGAGCGGGAGGGGATCCAGAGATGAATCCTTTTTCATCTCATGTCGTTCTTGCTTAGAAGTTGCGTTCCTGAAGGAACTTCAGGATCTCAGGTTTGCGCCAGCCCTAAGTGAAGCAATCCGGTTAGCTCGGCCGTGATCAACTGGCAGATTGTAGAGGACGTACCTTGACAATGATGTGACCGTTAAGACGGTTAATAGTGACATCCGGGCTCTTGGGAGCGCGGGGGTCACCCGACTCCAGTCCCAGGTACTGCGCCAGATCGTTCCTCAGGGCATCCAAATCGCCTTCAGTCTTCTGGAGCTTGGTTTGTTGCTTGGTACCGCCGGCCTTGGTAACGAGATATACGGGGAGTTGGTTGGAGGCTGTGCGACGGATGAAATAAGGGAGGTTTGTGAGTTGCAGGTTGGGCGGCGGTTGCGATACCGGGGTTTCCTTAAGAGTCTGGGATTGCCGCTTGAGTTGAACGAGGAAAGTCCGACATTGCTGGGCGGCAACTTGGGGCTGAGAGATGATTTGGGAGGAGTGACGAGAAGCGAGTTCTAAGAGCAAGTCAGGAAAAGCTCGACGGATTCTTTTTGTTACCCTCCAGGTTTTTGCTGCTCAGAAACAGCCATGCTTACTATCCCGATGGGATAGGCCGTGGGTGGAACGGACGGAAAGGGTCGCGACTTACGAGAGGGGGTCAATCTAGCGGAAGAACATAGCGAGGAGAAGGAGCTACGCGTCCCTGACGAGACTCTGGACTGTGAAGCTTTTTGCAAATAAAAGGGAACAGCGGTTGACTGCTTGCGAGTGGCCGAGCAGACCGGCAGAGACTGCATGAAGGATGCCATCGGGGATGGTAAGGGGGAAGTAAAGGGGGAGGCAACGGAAACAGCCTGAACGATTCCTAGGAGCCAGGGAATCGAGGAACAACCCAGAAGGGAGTTTATAAGAGGGAGAGGGGGGGGAAGAAGGACAAGACGAGGGCCGGAGAGCGCGAGAGAACGAACATACGACATGCAGAAATGAAGCGATGATTTCTTGCTTCGGCGCGGAGACCTTCCGCTAGGCCCGGAAGGGGATAGCGCGCCCAGCAGCCCTTCGCCCACATTTTCGCCAGCGCAAAAGCCGCCGCACACTGACTTTGAAGTCTGCCGCTGCCATTGTGAGAGGCTCTCCGTTCGTGAATCGCTTCCTCTCTTCTGTTTTTGTCCTTTTTCCTCCTCCCCTCTTTTCCCCCCTCCCCCCTCCTCCTCCACCACCCCCCAATTTATTCCGCTCCCCGCTGCTACTGCTGCTATTCTTCCCACCATGGCAGCCAACGTTCCTCCTTCCGCTGAGACCCTTCTCAGCGGTGCTGCCGCCCACCCGCCCAAGACCGCTGAAGAGATCGCCAACCAGTATGACCTGCTGCCTAAGCTGATCCCCTACCTCGACCGCCATCTGGTCTTCCCTCTTCTCGAGTTCAGCTCCGGCTCCCAGGAAGATGACAAGGAGATGATCCGCGCCAAGTACGAGCTGTTGAAGCACACCAACATGACCGACTATGTGGCCAACCTGTGGAAGGAAATTAACGACTCCGACACCATCCCCGACGAGTTCGTCAAGAAGAGAGAGGAGGTCCTCGCCAAGTTGCAACACTACCAGGAGCAGAGCGCCAAGATCACCGAGCTGCTGCAGGATGAGGATGTCGTCGGCAACCTGCGCAGCGACAAGGTCGCCAACTTGAAGTTCCTCGAGGAGGAGCACGGTGTCACCGCCGACATGGTCAACAGCCTTTTCGACTATGGTCGCTTCCAGTACAGCTGCGGTAGCTACGGCAATGCCGCTGAGCTGCTGTACCAGTTCCGTGTCCTCTCCACCGACAACGACAAGGTTGCTTCCGCCACATGGGGTAAGCTCGCCTCGGAGATTCTGACCACCAGCTGGGATGGTGCTATGGAGGAGGTCCAGAAGGTCAAGGACTCGATCGAGACCCGTCTCTTCAACAACCCTCTGGGTCAGCTCCAGAACCGCTCCTGGTTGATCCACTGGTCTCTCTTCCCCTTCTTCAACTACGACCCTGCTCGCGATGTCCTGACCGACCTTTTCTTCTCCCCCGCCTACATCAACACCATCCAGACCAGCTGCCCCTGGATCCTGCGCTACCTCGCCGCCGCCGTCATCACCAACCGCAACCGTGCCCACAAGAACAGCAACGTCTACCAGAAGCAGTTGAAGGACCTGATCCGCGTCGTTCGCCAGGAGGGCTACGAATACTCCGACCCCATCACCGACTTCGTTAAGGCGCTGTACGTTGACTTCGACTTTGAGGAGGCTCAGAAGAAGTTGGGTGAGGCCGAGGATGTGTTGCGGAGCGACTTCTTCCTCGTTTCGGCTGCCGATGCCTTCGTTGAGGCTGCCCGTCACCTGATCTCCGAGAGCTACTGCAAGATCCACCAGCGGATCGACATCAAGTATGTTAATCAACACGAAGAACATTCATTCAAGCATTATCTTGCTAACCGATCACACCAGGGACCTGTCTACCCGTCTGGGTCTGAACCAGGATGAGGGTGAGAAGTGGATCGTCAACCTGATCCGTGACACTCGTGTCGACGCCAAGATTGACTACAAGGAGGGCACTGTGATCATGAACCACCCCCCGCAGTCGGTGTACCAGCAGGTCATTGAGAAGACCAAGGGTGCTTTCTTCCGCACGCAAGTTCTGAGGTTCGTCCAATACCCTATCTATCAATCCATCTCCATCCTTTGTTACTAACGCCAAAATGATCCAGTGCTGCCGTTGCGAAATAAATGACACCCCCTACTTCTTGAAATTTATACCGAAACAAGAAATCTTCGTCCTTTTACCGTTCTCTTCATGGTTCTGTTATGTTAGTAGTATCTTCCGCCGCAGTGCGGACTTCCTGAAATGATGGGACCAAGCAGAGTGGCATCAGGCTGGCGTTCAGGTGGTCCACTATTCCTTTTTTCTTTTTTTATCTCTCTATCTTATTTTCCCTTTTCTATTTACGTTTCGTGTCCCAATTTCCACCCACTATATCGTTTATTTCCCCCCCTGTGTATCTCTTTATGATGTTTGACACCCTTCGGGATTTTGGTGTGTGATGACTCCCTTAAAAAAAAGAACGAAGTACCGTCAAAAATTCTATCCAACTATATCTGGACTTTTATTTTTGGGTTGACCAGAGGATGAAAGGAGAAAAGGAAGGCAGGAAGGAAGGAAGGAATGAAGGCCAGAAACAGGACCCGGGGGTGTTTCCTTTAAAAAGTGAGAGCAGTCCTTTGCACACTTCTGTTTACTGGGGTTGTGTTTTCTCGTCCGATAAGACGCCGTCGCTTGGTTACGTGTGATCGAGCTATGCTGTTACGAATGATCTATAGAGATGATGGAATTCAATTATCATTAACTCACTCAATTCTCAGTTCGGCTTGGCATTATGGTGTTTTCATTATAGTGCCGATCCGTAGAGTATACTAGTATCCCAGACCAATCCACCCTCCTCGGGATCCCAGACAATTAGTAGCAATCCTATATAGTAACAAAAGGTATCTGTAGAACTGAACTGAATCAAACCATCCCCGCTATCAAAAAAACCAAGAGCAAGCATTATGTTGATGTTGAATGAGACGACCTCCTTCCTCTCTTCTCTCCACCTATTTTTCTTCCTTTGCACCTGCCTCTCCATTCTTCAATTTCAAAACCACTCATCGACTGCGTCTCGGTTCATAATCCATCATCTGTGATGACGATTGTGGTGGTGGTGCCCTGCGACTTCTCACTGAATTCCTCACGGGTACGATCTCATTGATATAGGGTTCGTGTCTGCCGAAAGAGGAGGCGGGGCTGGCTGAGTCACCTGCCATTCGGAGGGATTCTTGACGCTCGTATTCTCGGGACATGGTTGCTAGGTCGTCGATTTGTTCCTATCAATCTATATTAGTTGTGGGGATGAATGGGGGAAAAAGAGATTGGGGGGTTTGCAACGAACTCGAGTAAGTGGTACACCGACTATTAGGTAGCCGTCGCGTCCCTGGGAGAAGGCCAGATTATGTGTTAGAGAGAGTGTGTGGTTTCAAAGTTCTAGGTGTCTTATGCATGTTGTTCCTGGTTGGTTTGGTATATTGGTCTGTCTACCTGGTATGAATATGGTCTGACACTGGCTGATGGCCCTAGAAAGTATTGGATGTGGCCTAAGACTATGTGACGTGACAGTCCGTATCCTGGGAGCCAGTATTGCTGGACCTGAGACATATCCGTGAAGTAGTAGTAGTAGTAGTAAGATCAGTTAAGTTTGGGATAGTAGTGTGGGAGAATTAGTAGTGATTGTGAGTGATATGATGTAGCGCTGTGTTGTATAGTACTATCAGAACTGAATGAAGTGGGCTACTCTCGATCATGACGACCATTTGATTGGAACTGGAACTCTCTTCTAGGGGCCCCTTATATATAGCTAGATTCGGGTTTGTGGTCATGCAAGGAAAAAGGAAGAAGATAACAAGCGGACATAAGATTTATTCGTCACGCCTCGGTGGGTTCGATGTGGATATGTCTCTCAAAAGGTGTCGGGATGCCCTAGGGCAATGTGACCGTACATAGTGGGCTCCATCATAAGGAGCGGATCAGCACGCCCGTCATCGGCTCAGCGAATTTTCTTCCAGTCAAGAGTGCGCCTTTGCGAATGTGGCTTTTTACATAGACTCTTTTGCGAGCAAAATGGAACGACTGCAAGGCCTGCTGCTCACGTCCGATTCCGGGGAAAACTCGCCTCACTCTTTCATCCAACCCCTTTGCGCCGGTAAAAGTGAGGCTTGGGCCCCCAAGGGAAGACTGACAATTTCCGCAAATCGAAGGATATTGTGCCCACCTCTCGCGTGCCTCTGTCTTTCGACGGCTTGGCTATTTCTGCGGTGAACATGCACCACTGAAGTGGTCGGCGATGTAGGTATGTAGTAGAGTCTGTATGTGTGATGCCGTGGCTCCATGGACCGAGCGTTTCGGATGCAGCTAGTATGCTTGCTCGAAGTTTATTGGCGACTCCCCTAGATCTTGCAGCCCCAAAATGGTTTCGTACATTTCGGAATTTCTTGCGTCTCGAGTCCAGACGTCCTCATAGCCGGTGACACCTGCATGAGCCTGGAGCCATTAATACAGACCGGGTTGTTCGCAGATCTATGAGGCCATGCCATATTGAATCCCACTTAGCCGACCGGACTGTTTGTGCTCGCGGCTCTCAACGGCAGCTTGAGTCATAGTATTCGGCCCGATTGCATCTTGTTTTGATTTCCGGGGTCCTTAATCTGACCTGTAATCGCCCTGCTCAAAGTTTATCGGGCTGTGGTAGGTGTTATCTGTATATCGGTGGATACAGCATAGTTGTCACCGAATGTCGCAGAATTCGAGGTCTAGACAAGAGATGCATCAATTAGAGAAGAACAGTTGACCTTCGTGGCAGGATTGACCCTGTAGCCTGTACCCACGATATGTCGTAGCACAGAATTTGGTTCATCAGGATTCACCTCAGACCATTGATGCTGTCCTTGCTAGGCCAAGCTATATCTGACGATCGCTGAAGACAGAATGGGCAGTGACACGATCCTACAGGGAACTAAACCTGGGAACCCATTGTCCCCTTCCTGTATAGTCAATCTTTGCTGCGATATCTTTCGCCTTTAGCCTTAACTAGGGGTCACTTGCATCAGGGCTTGAGCGAATCTGATTTGGTAGTCAGCCATACTTGCATGAGCCGGCCTGAACAGGCCATTGTCTCCATGACAGGGCTTCACGCCATGTTTCCTCTTTTCAGTCACCAATCAAAGCTTCCAGGTCCCGGGATAGTGACAGCCACTGTTATTGCAGCCAGGATATTGCAGACATGGTACACCTGGTATAGCTCATAGCGTCATATGAGGCTGGATTCATCTAGCCATAAATTGACCCGGTATCAAAAACAGCGAGGCAATATGGCAAACTGATTGGTCTTCATCTGAACTGTCAGCTGGAGGTGAGGCTTCACCTCACTCACCAAGCCTTAAATATTCGAAGCGCAGATACCTCCATCCCTCCCCAGTTGTTTGCCTGTGGACAGGAAGGTCATGCTTTTTCTAATGATGTCGCATCATCCACGAGCTGGGCAGCTTTATCCCTGTCTCAGATCATTGCTTTTATTTTGCACCCTTATAGTGACTGCAAGTTGTATTCGGCAAGGGGGACTGAAGGTGAGGCTGAAGCGATAAGAGTTAGAACTTCCTGGATCAAGGAATGTTGATGAATGCAACAGGGAAAACTCTCTAACTTACACCCGGATCGCTTATAGCGGGTTGTGACCAAGGCAGAAGCTGCTATATTGAGGCTACAACGGGGCAGGAGGAAGGAATTTGAGGCGATTGAGGATCGAGAAATCAAGCTGCCAATTGGACTAGGAGAAGGTGATTGCTTGACAGAGTCCCTGCTCTGAGGCGGAAGACCCACAGGTGATCTAGTCCGGGTCACAATCTCATCCCTGAAGATCTGCAGAAGTCGCTAGTGGGAACCTCGACAAGGCAACAGTGAGGCGTTCGGAGCATGCGAGCAGGGAAGTCAGGTGTGATGGAAAGGCAAGCACCAGAAGAGGAGCATTGAGCTAATCAAGCTCATTCCACACGGATCAGGGTAACAACTAGATTCACAATATTCCAAGGAATGCATCTTCACGCTTCGTATATTATAGTCTATACTCTTTTCATGACTCGTCCAAATAAACAACATTCGCCGCAAATCTTAGATTGATTGAAATTTCTCCGCTAATCCGCCTCAGTTGCCCTCCGGGGGAACATACGGGTTCACAAGCATGTCGCTGAATCTGTGGGCAGGTTAGCCAACGTGATGCTTCTCTCACAACTGGTTATCTAGGCGTCGACTTACTTCTCAAGCTTCTCCTTGCCTCTAACTTCCTCAACCAGCAATGGCATCCTAACCACGTTGAAGTCTTCATATAACTCTTCAATCTGCTCCAAGTACTTCTTCTGCATCTTCCTCCGTGCATTACATTGCTCGCACTCGCTGCTTTGCTTGGGGAACAGGAGCTGGTTGACCACAATGGCATGGGTATCGATGTTATAGCTTGTGAGCTCCTGGATCATGCGCTCGGTTTCGTAGAGGGACAGGAATTCCGCAATGCAGACACAGACGAAGGTAGTCAGATCAGCATCCTTGAACTGCGAGTTAACCTCGCTGATTGTCTCCCTCAGCGACTCCATCTTCTGCAACAATTCATCAATGTTCTGACCGCCAGGCAGACCACCACGGGAACCAAGGATCGAGTTCAGCATGGGACCGAACTGAGACGACAGCTGCGACAGCTTGGCGAGAGCCTTCTCTAAGACAGTGGGGAATTGGAGGAAGCGGAGAGTGTGACCGGTCGGCGCAGTGTCAAACACAATAACTTCGTAGGACAGCGACTTGACCTGCTTCAGGACTTCGGCAAAGGACATAGCTTCATCAACACCGGGGATCTGCTACAGTTAGCTATTTTCCACGAGAGCAATGATTTTCTGCTGGTCAGCTCCGGTGCGTGACGTACACTTAACGCAAGGTCCTGCATCATTCCACCAACGCCCATACCAGACAGAGGGTCGTCGCCTTGGCCTTCACCACTAGCCAGGAGATCTTGAATACTTCCGTTAGGGTCGATCTCCATAGCGCTCAGGTTCGTGTATCCATCGACCAGTCGGGCCTCCTTTCCAAACTTCTGACCGAAAGCATCGCTAAGGTTGTGTGCGGGATCGGTGGAGATGAGAAGGACGGATTTGCGAACTTTGGCAAGCTGAATTGCAAGAGAGCAGGAAGTCGTAGTCTTGCCGACACCTCCTTTACCGCCGACAAAGATCCAACGCAAGGTCTTTTGGTTCACCACCGACTGGAGCGTGGGCTCCATGAGGTCGTCGCTGTGCACAACGGCGGATGACATGTTGAAATTCGTTGGTAATGATATGGGTTTCGATATCTTTTCTGAAGAGGGCGCGATTGAGTGAGCTTCCGTGTTAAAGAGGCTGTGTCGCGATATTGAAGCTTGGACTTACCACGTATCGGTTCCCCGCAGAGGCCAAAACTTTCAGTAGTGGCGGTTAGACAAGTTCGAGAACGTTCTCGGTAAGATAAGAGTCACCCGAACACTGGCTTGAAACAGGCCTACTCAGGTCCAAAGGGGCACGATCGCAAGGTGCTGGGGGTTCAGGTACGATCAACCTAGTGAATCATGTGCAGCGCCAAAGAAAAGCGTTTCCATTCGAGCCGGTGCAACACGCACGTGCGGATGCCATCATTCTCTGCCTGAGGCGACCCCACCCGTCAAACAAAGTGACATAATGCTTCATTCCTCTGAGATAATTTCTTGGCTTATTATCTATATGAATCTGAACAAGTCAGGCTGTTCTTTGTCCACCCTAAAAGGTTAAGTCGCTAATTCACAGACTCACTTGTGAGACTGTTCGATTTGCGACCAGCGCCCATTCCTACTAATCGAACTCAGACAGTTATCGGGCCTTCAAGCTAGCTTCAGTCTGTGTTTACGTGCATTGAAGAGCAGTACACGATTCTATGACACTACACCATTGCAGCAATCTGACATGTACAAGAGGATATAATGAGACACCTCCACTCAAAAAGAATTTGGCTTGTTCCCGCATGATAAAAGCCGGTCTTGCGTTACAGAAGTCTAGGTTAGTCAGATCGGCGGGCACCACGAACCCCAATCGCTACTACTTGGTATCGTAGCATCCCAAGACGGGGTTGCACACACTCATGTCAAAATTGATCGGCTTGTGGGTTTGCAACTCTTAAGTTTCAGGGGCACTAGACAGATTCGAGCTGCTGTGGTGCTACGAGCTTTGGGACCACCCCCGAATTACCCCACCGATGGTATACTCCGGCATCCCAAGGTAGCTCTGTCGGTGCTCTCCGATGCATGAGAAGCGGAGATAGAAAAAGCCCCTCGCACGCTGAACACGCTCGAGACAATTTCTACTTTTCTCTCAATACCTGAAATAATCTCCCATCATCCACTTACTCTCTCTTGATGGACCCTAGATCGGAGATCAAGCCGTCAAGTGGTCAACTGGATAAAATCACAGACCGTCTTAGCCTCTACTGCAACCAACTCTCCCAATCCCCGATCCACTCTACAGCACAACCCTTCCACAACTACAACCCAGCATCGACCCTCAACCGAAATACCACCGCAATGTCTCGCGACCCCATAACCTGTCACGTCTTGAACACCCTAACGGGTACTCCCGCGGCGAACCTCCCAGTGACACTGACCCTCCTATCTGGGCCCTCCAGCAGTAGCCAGAGTCCCATCAGTTTCCGCGCGACGACTGACGCAGACGGACGAGTCAAAAACTGGGAGCCCACCGCAACTTCATCGTCAGCTTCATCGGTCCCCGCTATTCTTTCTGCACTCCCAACCGCCGATAGCAAGACAAATTGGTCCGTTCGATTTGAAGTCGGTCCATGGTACGAGGCACAAGGAGTTGAGAGTTTCTGGCCCGAGGTCGAGGTGAAGTTTACGGTCAAGGGACGGGGCCGGGAGGGAGAAGAAGGATGGCGGCATTATCACGTTCCCGTGCTGTTGGGACCCTGGAACTATTCGACGTATCGCGGCTCATGACGAAAGGATGTCTCAATTTAGTTCATGTAGACAAGGGGGCGAGGGGAGATTGTTGTACGGATAGGATAGGATAGGACCTTAATCTTATCGCTGCTGGCTATTATTAAATTTACTTTAGTTAACTATTTTATCGTGGAGAGTGCCCCATGCATCCCCATACTTATGACGTATCTGGAGAAAAGCTGAGACCATTCCATGTACGGCTCAATAGTTTGTTACATACCATTGATGATGGATTCACGAGCTTAATTGGGGATGTTAGTTGTTACCCCTAGAATCTCACTAGAGGTAAATCGAAGCCGGAAACAAGAATTATGGCGCCATTCCACCTTCCAAAGTACGTATCAATTTCCTGTCTGTGCGAGCGATGACATGCCATGTCCTCTAAAACACAGCAGAACAAAAGCAAATCTAGCCAACCTCATTTGCTAAGAACACACACATTTATCATGGCTTCGATATAACTATAACTGGAACAGTAAATACCAACGCCAGCAGTCCGCGATCTAGACTTTTCGATCAAAATCCTCGGAAAGGCTTGCATGTCAACCGCTGATTTTGGTGGCTGCATGGGCTAAAAAGGCTAAATTATGGTGGAATCAGTACTTATGTGTTATGTGTATCGACTAGCGCATTGAGCGACAGACAGACCCCGGACAAGTCAACACATTTCGCTGTGCTGAGGGGGACTTACGGAAGGGGGGAGGGGGAGGTTACTTCGGCTAAAGCAATTAATCTATGAGATGTTCCTTAAAACTGGACTAATACATTTTGGATCATGCAGCTGAAAAGGAAGCGCACCCACCGAAATACAAACACTGACTAGCATTGGAGCCGTTGGGCCTAAATACTAGAATTATGACTTACCCTCCTTTATCACAAAGTACCGTTGAGCGGCAGGGGTTTTATTCATGCACCTTCGAAGGTTGTGAAGTACCGGGTACATCACATACAGACAGTGAGTGATTCTTCGAGGGTACATGTGCATACTTATGTGCAGGAGACCTTTTAGCAATAATGCAAGGCGAAAACAAGCAATTATACCATTTCTGGAGCTACAGTGAATACTAGAGTCTTTTCAATATCGATATCGACGGCGTGATTTGATAGGACTGGTAACGAACCTATTGACCTGTAACACTATCATGTACTGTCTGGGGAACGCAGTACCACTGCCAAGGCCTAAACGAGACGCGAACTGACAGTTTGGAGGGGGGCTCTCAATACTAATTAATGTGGAGGGGGCGTATATTCTACTCCGAACCTTCTTGTTCGGTCCACCTTTCAACCGTGTAGCCTGTACACAGTACCACACGGGGAGCAATGGAATAGATTGTCCAGAATCCAAGTGGCAATCCACTAGATTCCTTCATCCTTGTTTTGGGCCCCAACAAGACCGCGCGAGACACCCTCACGTGATGGATACCCACGGGACGAAGGCCCTAGAAACATTGCGTCATCAGTAGGGATCCAATCAGCAAGCGGACGTGTCACTCGATGTCCCGAGCGAGACTGAACAACACTACTCCCTTCCAACCACCCCCCCCTGAAATGAGAAAGAACCTAGAACCTAGAATCCGGGCAACGGCGATAAGGGAGCCGAGGATTGGAAGGATTTCCTTGTTGGACCCGAAATCTATGTATCTCCAGATTTGGGCGTTGGTCAATGGGCCATTCAGGGAGGGTATCGATGGGATGGAAGTGGCATCGACCATTCGAACAGACGAAGATCCCTCACCGCCCTGCGGCCGGACAAACATGGCGTCGTCTCCATGATTCGTTCACCCGCTCGAGATTGAGACTCTGCAGGGCGGGGGCTCGGAAACAGGCCCGTGAGTGGCTGGACCAAGTGGATGCGCTGGTACGTTAGTGTTGAGGTGCGCGAGTGGCCACTGCCGGCTGGTCCGACTGTCCGACAAGCCCAGGAAAATTCCTGTCGTCGTCACCGTGATCTCATCCATGGTTTTTTTACCCCTTCCTACTCTGTGCCCTTACCAACTTTCCCTCTTCTGTCCCCAGACATTTTGTTGACCAGTTTGTGGTTACAAAGCCTCGAGAATCCAAAACTTTAGACTTTGGACAAATCTTCGTGTACTTTCCACACATCCCTGGATAGCGACCAACATTCTTATACCTTTGCAATTTTCTTCCTCGGGACACGGAAGTGTGTCATACTACTTCACTACCACTTTCTTATTAGGTTGAATTTGCCTATCGTTTCCGCCGTCATCCAACAATCGCGTCCACCCGGGATTTCCCTTCCCTGGATTGGCTGACAAGTACTGCCGGGAATCCACTCCGTCTCCAAGTTTCGTTTTTGCAAGTAAGGGCCAGCCAGCATTTCGCCTGCATAATCATACAGTGCCTGGTCATTTACTATAGGGTAAGGTGTTCCTTCGATTTCTGTTTTAGTTCTCGGTGTTTTTTTCTCTCTCGCCTACCCTTTGTTCATTTATTTTTTATTTTTAATTTTGCGAAATTCTTGTTCCGGAGTTTCAATATTCCTGCATTGAAATCAAGATCCATAGGGTGGACGAAGCAAAAGAAAAAAAAATACGGAAGAGAAAAGAAAAATACAATTTAAAACAGGAAAGAGCAACAAGAACAAGATTGGTTCCGAATACAGAACCAGAACCGAAGATAAGAATTAAGAAGAAAAGAGAGTGAAGAGAACCTCCCCCCCTTAAAGGGAGAAAAAAGCAAAAAGAAAAAGAAAAATTCTTTCCAAAGAAAAAAAAAAAGAAAAGAAAAGAAAATTTCCATGTTAGTGGTTTCGAGGTTGCACTCTGGCTGGTAACCCGCGGGCTTTTTGTACTCTCAGGGTTGCATGGTTTCGGCGTGACAGACAGTCGAGTCCAAATAGGCATAGCCTCGCCCGACGGCCACTCGACCGCCTCCCCTCTTTCTTTTTCCCCCTAAATAATCTCCCTGTCGAAGCCCGGACTACGTCACAACTTTTTCCTTTCCTTTCCCCTTCCTCTCCAACACGATCTACTTCTGAACTGCCGTGTACTCGCTCAGTGACCTTTGGGTACAGGCGTTTGCGCTGCAGTATAGCCAGCTCCCGAAGCATCAACAACTTGTCGCATTTTACTAACTTCAATCAACCAGCTTTGCCTCCTTTTAACTTGCTTCCCTTTCCCGTACCCCTCCAGTTGTTTTCTTGTTCAGCGTCCGTCCCGTCCTTATTCTTCTTCGTGTCCTCGCCACCTCCGTCCGCTCGCTTGGCTATTTTTTTCCTTACATCCCCGGGGTCACCTGTCGACCTCCCTCGCTCTGATATATCGACACCACCAACAATTATCCCCCTCCTCCTTTCTTCGCTAATATGTCTGCGGCTGTTACTTCGACCGTTTCGACCAGTCTAACTAATCATACCGATACTCGTAATTCTACCCCAATGGATGCGAAAAAGGCGGGTCTAGACGAAGGTGAGTGTTGTGCATCTTTAAAAAAAAAACTGTTTCGATCCTTCGTTTTGCGCGCGTGGAACTCTGGTACCTCCCATGCCCCAAACTCCCGAATATCTGCTGTATCTTGCACTTCCTTACTTCATCATCGACCCTTGACCTGTTCTGGCTTGGTTGTACGCCACTGTTCCCCCAAATGTTCTGTTGACTACCCGCCGCCGTCGGGATGACCTCACAATTGGCGTCATCGATGGGGGGTCACTGTTATCAGATCCCCTTCCTCGCAAACTTCGGCCTGGACCGCCTCATTTGGCCAACCTCTTTCATTCTACCCCTGTTTCAGATAACCTCACTGTCGCGTACTTCATCATCGTCATTGCTATTGTCGTTGTCGGTGTTGTCATACTAACGCGCACATTTGCTCCGGATACAGACTCCCGGGCGACCTCTTCGGATCTTAAAGATACCAAGCCTGATGTAGATCCTCAAACCTCGTTGGCGCCGCCTCCGCGACCAGCCATAACAAGCGCGACTGATACCCCCGATTACTTCAACTCCGTCCACAACCCTTTCTCTCTGGAACCCAATCCCTTCGAGCAATCTTTCGGCAGTGGTGGTTCCTCGGGCGAAACACCCGGAAAGTCGATCCTTCCTCCTGTTGCAGCACTTACTTCTCCTGCCCTGCCGGGCACAAGCTCTGCCGGTGGCGGCTACGGCTGGTCCAACTCTCTGCGCTCCGGGCCGCTGAGTCCTGCTATGCTCGCCGGCCCGACTGGCACGAGCGATTATTTTGACAGTATTGGCAGGGGCTTCCCTACCCCTAACGAGTCTTCTCTCCGCACTGGATTGACCCCGGGCGGAGGGGGGTCTATGTTTCCTGCTCCTAGCCCCAACTCTCAGGCACTTCTGCAGCAGCTGCAGAGTGGTGGTGCGACACCGTCGACCATTGAGTTCCACCGTACTGCCCTTAACGCTGCCAAGAAGAACAGCTTAGGTGGCCCAACCTCTAACCCCACTTCCGAACCTGATCCAGCGACGCAAAACTCCAATATGGATATTAAGCCGAACCCGCCTGCCGGTTCCGACCCATTTGGTCATCATGACGCTGCTGATGCGGCTAACGGGCTTTTCATGCTGGCCAAGGGCGGACAGGCGAACCCCAATCAGTTCACTGTATCGAACCAAGCATCGATTCAGCCACAAAGTATTCAGGCCAATGACCAGCAACTTGATGCTGGCGCCGATAGACGTAACTCGCAAAACATGAATGGTGTATCAGGCAGAGAGACCAGCGGTGACGCCTCTGACATGCAGGGTGAGCAGACGAAGCCCGCTGCCAAGGGCAAAGCCAAGAAGAACACTGGCACAAAAGCCAGCACCGCGGCAAACAACAGGCGCAAAGCAGAAGATGCACCGAAGGGTTCAAACAAGAAGGCCAAAACGAGTAACGGGTCTGGTAGTGTTGAGCCTCCTTCCGATGTTGGGGATTCCGAAGACGATGAAGATGATATGAAGAGAAAGAACTCGACAGACACGAAGAAAATGACTGATGAAGAGAAGAGAAAGAACTTTCTCGAGAGGAACAGGTAAGAAGCGCTTTTTACCATTTGGCGCGCTCAAGTTATTGGCTTGGTGCTAACGTTCTTTGTAGGGTTGCGGCGCTCAAGTGTCGCCAGCGAAAGAAGCAGTGGCTTGCCAACCTTCAAGCGAAGGTGGAATTGTTCACCTCCGAGAATGATGCGCTTACTGCCACTGTCACGCAGCTCCGTGAGGAAATCGTCAATCTCAAGACTTTGTTGCTTGCGCATAAGGACTGCCCAGTCTCCCAGGCCCAAGGTTTAGGCCCTCTCATGATGAATGGCATGTCGGCAGGATTTGATGCGCATCCATACAACATCCCTAACGGTATGGCAATGCAACCTGGAGCACCTATCCCTGCTCAGGGGCTACGACGGTAATGAGTCCCCATGCGAGGCCACGATAATACATGATTGGTCGTGTTCCGTTATATGCGGTTGAAGAACGGCCGGTTTTCTTTAAATTCTTTTTCTTGCTTCAGGAGTGCAGGCGTCAACGTGAGGATGTGTGGCGCCTTGTCTGCCTGCTACCTCTTGCTCTTATTATTTGGCTACGCGCCACCGGCATGGATAGGTGTTATGATGTATACGATTTCTAAAACGGACGGCTGAATTTGAAGTGGATTGGGCATCACTTGATCACCAGAAGGTGCAAACTTGGCGCAAAAGCTTGGCTGCTTTCAATTTCTTTTTATCACTTGTTCTCTCTCTTTTTTTTTTCGCTTCGACCCTCAAGAGCCCTCGTCCTGTCTGGCATCGGTACTTGCAGGCTAGGGTGGTGTATTGTGTACTCATTTATCTTGTGCTTTCTCTTTTTACACTGCTATCCCCTTTGCTGTGAGGGCTTCTCTTCGTCTGTCTGATACTTGCGGGCCACTGGGTGTTTGCCTTCTCTATCATTTTGTTGCTGCGAAACACGGTACTGGGTGGCGTACTGGAGGCTTCTTGCTATCGTTTGCTTTCATACTAGATGCCATTAAGCGTCTAGGGAATTTGCTGAGCTTGAATTCCAACTGATTCTTCAATCAAAACCTGCGACACTTGTAAGAATATGTGTAATACAGACTGTATTTCGTAGATAGATCGACGGTCTGCAATCGTGATCAGTAACGGCGTGCTTGGCAGGACGCGGTGGATTTGAGTTCAAACCATACAAACCGGTCAAACAAGACAACAACATTCATCCCATACGCGGGTCTACCAGTCCTTCGGCGATGGGCTCCGACGCAATTGATACCTAAACACGTCAAGTCTATATGCCATAGCTACTACTCCCAGGTCTTCCTCTGACTGGTGCGGGACACCATGCCCTAGACTCCGCGACTCCAGCGAATTGGCAGGCTATCCACTTGTGTTCGACCATTAACTTCTCGCCGCGTCTAACCTCGAAAGGCGGTATTCTGCGCCAGCCGGCCTATACTCCATTGCCTCTTGAGGGGCCTCAAGTTGTGAATTACACAAGCATACTTGGAATCCAGAGAATAAAAAGAAAGGACGTTATACAATACACGAGAGCCCTACAGTCGAGCTATAACCAGATTCCCCCAAAAGCATGTCCACCCGCCAACCCGCGCGCCCGCGGCGCATCGACGACGCCCTCTCGCAGCTCGTCGACTCCCTTACCCCTCCGCTCTCATTCTCCGACATCGACGACGGCTACTCCGACGACGCAGAAGAAGCTCTCGCGGCAGCCGAGGAGCGACGACACCAAGATATCCTCGAGCGGTCATGGCGCATCCTGGACACCTACACGAGCGCCGCCAACAATGATCCGTCCTCGCCGCCGGGCCCCGGAATAAACAGACGAGGAAGCTTAGCAGGCGGAGAGAACATCAACAACGCGTCGGACCTGATTAAGCGGAAATTACTGCGCGAGAATGCGAGCCCCGATAAGGCGGTGCGGTTCTCGAATCTTTACTCGCGTCTGTTGACGCAGCCGGTGCTGTCGCAGAAATGGGCCATCCTGTACTTACTTTATCGACTCTCCGGGGCGGATGATTATGATGGGTTTGTTATGGATGACGAGGTGATGGTGGAGGCGAGGAGTCCGCCGGTCGAGCCGGCGAATTTACAGAATGTGCTTTGGAAGGGCCAGAGGACGAAACAACAGGGTTGGGGTGCTGGTGATCAGTCGGATGAGGAGGGTCCGGCGATTAGTTCGTCGGCGTCTCAGTTGCCTGGGAGGATTGAGAGAAAGGCTTCGGTGCGACGGCAGGAATTATTTGCGGATAAGGAACGAGAACCGGAGCTTGATGGGGGGTTACAGACGACGGAGAGGGCTCGAGAGACTCGGGTTACTCGTAGTCGGGCGAATACTGGGGTTAGAGAACCGTTTAGTGATGATCAGAAGACGGTAATGCCGGATCCTGGTCCGGAGAAGGAGCAGAAGCCTACGGGGCCGTTGGAAGATGGGCTGCTTCGTGATTTACCATTCAATTTGCAGGGGCTGTCGTCCTCCAATTTGCAATTCTCCTCCTCGTCTATCTTGAAATTACCGCCGTCACTGCCTTTGCCAGTCGTTTCGCTTCTGAATTCACTTGCAGAGCCCTGCCTTCTATATCGTGGGTTGTCGTCCTTTGTCGAGAGCTCTGGCGGTGGCCTTTTGAGCCAGAGCTTGCGAGCAGCTCTCTCGAATGAACTCCGCTCGTATCTGGGCTTAGTTGCTACGTTGGAAGGGGAGATTCGGCGGGCGTTGGCTGCGCCTGGAGATCCGAATGATCCTCGGAGTGCCGCTAAGAGTGGTGTGACGTTGAAGCGATGTGTTGTCTGGACGCGAGATGCAACGATGGCGCTGCGGTTGATGAGTCTTATTGTTGAGGAAGCTCAGAGTATGTGCTCCAATTGTGAATGAGCAGCTATTCAAGCTAACGTTGATATTACAGACAAGAAAGGTGGTCAACTGATCTCTCTAATTCATGGCTTCTCGACGTCTCATGGCGACCCCTTCGTATGCGCTCTGGCAGAGAAGCTTCTCAACCATGTCACCCGGCCCTTCTACGATATGCTACGGCTTTGGATTTACGATGGCGAGCTGTCCGACCCCTACAAAGAATTCTTCGTTGTCGAGCCAGAGTTCAGGCCCAGCACAGACCCACGTCGCATTGCAACCAGTGTTTGGGAGGATAAGTATAAGCTTGACGATGAGATGGTACCTTCCATAATCACACAAGACTTTGCTAAGAAGGTATTCCTGATCGGAAAATCATTGAACTTCATACGATATGGCTGTGGAGACTCGGGGTGGGTCGAAGCCTACTCGAAGGAAGCGTCCAAGGAGCTGCGGTATGGCGATACGGCTACCCTAGAGTCTTCGATTGATGAAGCCTATAAGACTACGATGGCGCGACTGATCTACCTTATGGACGACAAGTTTAAACTATTCGACCATCTTCGAGCGCTGAAGAAATACCTATTGCTCGGACAGGGTGATTTCATCGCCTTGCTGATGGAGTCATTAGCGTCCAACCTCGACCGGCCAGCTAATTCACAGTACCGGCACACACTGACTGCCCAGTTGGAGCACGCCATTCGAGCATCAAACGCACAATACGACTCCCCAGATGTCCTCCGTCGGCTGGATGCCCGCATGCTAGAGCTCAGCCATGGAGAGATTGGCTGGGACTGCTTCACCCTGGAATACAAAATCGACGCCCCAGTAGACGTGGTCATCACACCCTGGGGCTCCACTCAATACCTAAAAGTCTTCAATTTCCTCTGGCGAGTGAAACGAGTCGAATTCGCCCTTGGCAGCACCTGGCGACGATGCATGACGGGGGCCCGCGGCGTCCTAGGAAGCGTCAACGACAAAGTCGGCTCCGACTGGAAACGAGCAAGATGCGTAATCGCCGAGATGATCCACTTCGTGTGCCAACTGCAATACTACATCCTATTCGAAGTGATCGAAGCAAGCTGGGACCAACTACAAGCCTCCATCTCCAAGCCCGGCTGCACCCTAGACGACCTAATCGAAGCCCATACCAAATACCTCAACTCCATCACCCACAAAGGCCTCCTGGGCTCCTCCACCTCCTTCAAAAACAACACCTCCTCTTCCTCCTCAACCAACTCGAAACCCCAACAAGAAGAAGGCTTCCTCACCCAACTCCATCAAATCCTCAAAATCATGCTCGCCTACAAAGACGCCGTTGACGGCCTGTACTCCTTCTCCGTCGCTGAATTCACCCGCAGACAGGAACTCAGCGCCAAAATAGAAACCCGCACCGCCCAGGGCCGCTGGGGCCTCACGGACCGTGACCTCCGTCGTCCCCTTCGAGGCCATAAGGACTCCGTCTCCTCCTCTATGTCCCCCTCCGTCGCTGCTTACACGCCCAATAACCTCGCCGGTGGTGGCGCCGATGACTTCGGTGGCATCGGCACCCCATCGTCCCTCAACCCCAATGACCTCTCTGCGGACGATCATATGCTTGCTTCCCTGCGTGTCCGGCTCCGCGACCTCTCCGCGGAGTTCCGCTCCCGTCTCAATGTCCTCCTAGGTGATCTTGCTTACCAGCCTGATGTGGATATGCGGTTCCTGGGCGTTGTTATGAACTTCAATGATGTGTATGAACCCGTGAGGAGACGAAGGACTGCGGGATCTAGTTCCCGTGATAAGGAAAGAGCGAGACGTAAGGCGGCCGCTGTTGCCGCTGCGAATGCGAATGCTGCTGCTGAGGGTAATGCGTCGTCGTCTAAGGAGGCGAGGAGAGAGAAAGAGAGGGAAAAAGCGGAAAATAGCGGGACTGGAAGCGCTACTGGGTAGTAAGTTGTAGATGTTTGCTGTGACTTTTGGAGCTGTATATCTATCTCCCTCGAGGAGAGTTTTTGGTCTGTCTGAGTGTCTGTTTTGTACAAGTTCATGGAGTCAAGGATGGGGTGGCATGGGATGGGCTGGATGGGAATTGAAGCGAAGTGATAAATTCAAAAATCAGAAGAATGTATAATGAGAAGTCATAACGATCTCACGTATAGATCCACATAAATATATATAGGAGTCTGTAGATTGTATACATCCCTAGCATATTCACCTACCACCTTCTACTTAGTAGATAACCAAAGCGGAGATAAGCTAGATAAATAGTAGTCCACTTAAATTTTATCTCCGCACCTCACGTGGAAAATTTCCCCAAAACTTTCTGCGACCATCCAGAGACAACCCATACAACTATCTTTCTTGATCACCACTAAATCACTTTTTTCCCCGTTGTACTCCCACTGCTAATATATCTGGGACAACGCGATTCACATAAACTGCAAATTTGTTCATTTTCGTCCACCGCCGCTCCGCAAATCGAACGACTCTTGCCATACCGTCGCATCGCTCAATGTCGAGCAACCCCCAAGAATCTCCACAGCAGCAGCAACAACATATTCCGGCTTGGAAGAAGATGGGTCTGAAACTCAAGTACGCTAAAGATACGGTGGAGGAGACGGAGACGGATAAGGGAATTGTGGATAAGAAGCAGCAGGATCGCAAGAAGAGCAAGAAGAGACGGCTTGAGAATGATGATGAGGAAGATAAGGAAGTGAAGGAGGACGATGCGGAGAAGAAGAAAAAGAAGAAGAAGAGGGTGTCGTTTTCGGCGGATGCGAAGAAATTGGATGGTGATGCGGAGGATCAGGAGGAGGAGCAGGAGCAGGATCAAATGAAGATAGATGCTGACATTCCCGGGGATGATACTGGAGACAAGGCTGATGATGAAGGCGAGGGAAAGAAAAAGAAAAAGGAAAAGAAGAAGAAGAACAAGAAGCAGGACGGTTCGAATGATGCTTCATCCACCACGACACCGAGAATTCACGAAACGCCTATCCTTTCCTACCTGAGTCTGTACCACAAGCATCGGTCGGCATGGAAGTTCCAGAAGAACCGCGAGACGCATCTCTTCAAGCATGTATTGTCACTGGAGCAGGTCCCGACGCTGTACAATGCGGCTTTACTTGCCTATCTACAGGGTTTGAAGAGCGAAGGAGCGAAGTTGCGGTTGCGACAGATTGCCGAGGAGGTCATCAAGGCGGAAGCCGATGCTGAGGAAGATCAATCAAGTACTCCTGCGCAGACGGAAGAGTCGAAGGAGGGTACCTCTTCTGAAGCGAATGAGGACTCCGCGGCGACGGATAAGGCGAGTTACGACAAGGCTGTTGGTGTCTTCCGGACACGCTTGGCTGCGGGTCAAGATATCGACTGCCAAGATGTTACTGGGCAGCTCAATGCTGAGACGCTGAAGAAGTACGAGAACAGGGCACGGGCTGAGCTCATTCTGTTTGCTGTTAACGGTACGCTGTTCAATTACCACAAGCCGAAGCCTGCTGCGCAGAAAGGAAAGAAGGGGGCGCAGAGCCAGCCCGGCAAGAAAAAGAAGAAGAACCGTACTGCTATCGTTGAGATCTCGAGCAGCAGTGAGAGCGAGAGTTCGAGCGACAGTGATAGCGACAGCGACAGCGACGACGAGAAGAAGACCAAGGCCAAGCCTACAGCCGCTAAAGCCTCGTCATCGAAAGATAGCAGTGACAGTGATAGTGACAGCAGCAGCAGCAGCAGCAGCAGTGCTAGCGACAGCGATTCGGACAGCTCAAGTTCGAGTGACTAGCTGTGATGCCACTTTAGGAAGTCAGGTGCTTGTGCTTTCTTAAATGAGCACCCCCTTTCAATGACCTGCTGTTTGATCGTTATGTCCCAAATAAGGGAGATGTCCATGTTTATAGGAGTTTTTCATAGACCCCCATTTCCAGTCATAGAGATCGCTATAGCTTGATCAATCACAACTCTGGCAGTTGCTTGGCAGTTGTTTCTACATTATAGTAGGAATAAACAGGTAGGCCAGGCCTGCCGTGTATGACTTCACACCTTGACAGTATAGTGCTCTCCAGGAAGACTTGTTGCTTTGTAGAAACTCATGATCTCTATATAAAACAAATAGTGCTACTAGTATAGTAGTAATTAAACCACTTCAGGTTATATACTATTAGTACCGATACAGTAGTACTACTACATAATTAATTAGGATTGTATATTCACTATAGTATTCATGATATTGACTTAAAGACATCTCGAGAAATCAGTCAGTATGAAAAGATACCACCAGATAATACTTATATTGACGGACACATATTCAAGCCTGAAAGAGCTCATAGTTGAGCACTGAGAGAGATGGATGATAAGTGAGCGGCACAAAGGCTGAAGCCGTGAAGGCGGTGACGCTGGAGCTTACTCAAACGGGGACCCAAAGCTTAGAGCTCCGGCCAGGCACCCTCTGGCACGCGTCCTCTGCTAACGTCCCTCCTCCCTCGTCCTCGATCCTCCGTTCCCCCATCTCGATTCCATTTCCATCTTACTATAAATCTAATTAATTTCCACTGTATCTTCGAATCGAGTCTGATATATCACCGCAATCATGTCTGGTGAGACTTCCCGGACTCTCGACTGGACCGATATCCATGACTTCATCGATGAACTGACAACCTCCGTGAGCAGGAAGTGCATATGACAGACACATTACCATCTTCTCAGACTCGGGTCGTCTGTACCAAGTTGGTAAGTGTCCCTCTCCTCATCACCTCCGCCTCTCGTCCCGACGACCCTCGAAGAGCGCCGATCACGGACCACGTTAGATCATCAAGTCCGCCTACTCACCATTGATGCCCTCGGCGCTTAGAATATGCCTTCAAGGCTATCACCTCGGCCAACATCACCTCGCTAGGTGTGAAGGGAAAGAACTGCGCTGTGGTTCTGTCCCAGAAGAAAGTTGCTGTAAGCTCGTCCCCGCCGCCCGAGACGGTCTATCGGGCATCCTCTGATAACCATACCAGGACAAATTGATCGACCCCTCCTCCGTTTCGTACATCTTCAGACTTTCCCCATCAGTGGGCTGTGTAATGACCGGCTCCATCGCCGATGCGAGGGCCAGTGTTGACCGTGCTCGTGGTGAGGCGGCTGAATTCCGATACAAGTATGGCTACGAAATGCCCTGTGATGTCCTCGCAAAGCGACTTGGCAATATCAATCAGGTCTACACGCAAAGGGTATGTGTCACCTGCTCGAAAAGCTAGCCCGAGACATTGGCTGATGGATCACGTTCACCCTCTAGGCTTACATGCGTCCCCTCGGAGTTGCCACGACCCTGGTATCTGTCGATTCGGAGAAGGGCCCCCAGCTTTACAAGGTCGATCCTGCTGGATACTACATCGGATATAAGGCGACTGCATCTGGACCGAAGCAGCAGGAGGCGATCACTTACTTGGAGAAGAAGCTGAAAAACAAGGAGTACGCTGACGGCAGCTGGGAGGATGTGGTGGAGCTGGGAATAACCGCTTTGAGCAATGTACTGAGTGTTGATTTCAAGAAACACGAATTGGAGATTGGAATCGTGGGAGGGCCACGGGCAGATGGCCAGGAAGGGACAGACATTGGTTTCCGGAAATTGACGGAGGAAGAGATCGACGAACGACTGCAGGCCATCAGCGAGAAGGACTGAGCTGGTTTTCATTGTTTTTTACTGGGAGCATACATGTTGGTAGACGCAGAACGATCGATGAACATCACTATTTTTCTCTGATGCCCTGAGCTGGCTTGTGTCTGACGAAACTCTATTCCCCGTCCTGGTTGGCTGGGTTGCTTTTTTCGCACCGCTGTTGTACTTGACATCCAAAAACCTGGAAAGCCCCCCTTGCAGCTACTGTGACCGGGGCTCGTGTATCGGAAAGACCCGTCGCCTGTTCCTCCGGACTGGTGGCAAATATGGGGATAGACAAGCACGGTGAAGCACGGTGCGATAAAGTATGGTCTTTGCGATCTGACAGGCCTAGAGAGGGAAGTTGCTTATCTGCACGTCCCATGCTGCAGCACTTGTTACTAAAGAAAGGAACGGCGGAACCGGGATTATCGATGCAGAGCAATGTCAGACGTCTACTGCTATGAAGTATTGAGCGTGCCATCTGCAAGCTTTAGCACTCAACAGGGAAACAATCTCTCGGCTAGCATTCTGCATTGAAGCAACGTTGACCATGCTCATTGGAGGAGCATGATGAAACTTGCCACCGAGAAGGTCGGGACGGAGATTCTGTTCGTATCCTGCAAGTAGTCATGAAGTGACAGACAAGGAAGGAGAGAGAGAGCAACAACCCGGACGGATGATGAAAGAAACTACTAGTACGCCGTAGTATGGAGTAAACCTTCAAGCCTGAGGCTACGGTGTTTGCTTTTCCACTTTCAGCTGGTTTACTCGCCTCTTTGTGGCTGAGCTGGAACTTGTGGCTTTCGCGGTTTCTTTTTGGCCGCCGTTCTATCTTTGTCATTTTGATTTCTTTTTTTTTTTTTTTTTTTTTTTTTTTTTTTTTTTTTTTTTTTTTTT